TGCTGGGAAAACTGGATATCCACCTGCAAAAGAATGGAGTTGGAGCCTTTCCACACACCATATGCCAATATTAACTCAAAATGGATCAGACCTAAATGTTAAAGCTAAACAATAACATTCTTAGAAGATAACATAGAAATAAGTTTTATGACCTTGTATATGACACCAAAAGTTCAGGAAACAAAAGAAAAAAATAGATTGTTGGACTTCACCAAATTTGAAACTTCTGTATTTAAAGGACTTAATCAAGATAGTGAAAAGACGGGACACCTGGGTGGCTTGGTGGTTGAGCATCTGCCTTCGGCTCAGGATGTGATCCCCATGGGATTGAGTCCCACATCAGGCTCCTTGCATGGAGCCTGCTTCTCCCTTTATGTCTCTACCTCTCTCTCAGCCTCTCTCTGTGTGTCTCTCATAAATAAATAAATAAAATATTTTTTTAAAAAAGATAGTGAAAAGACAACCCATGAAATGGAGGAAAATATTTGCAAATCATAGATGTGGAACTTGTATCCGAAAATTATAAAGAACAGAAAGCTATTGAATAAAAAGTCTTTGTTAGTTACCAAAAAGGGGGGGGGGGGGACGGATAAAGAATTCTCACAACTCAATAATAAAAAGACAGCCCAGTTAAGAAATAAGGAGGGGAGCTGAATAAATATTTCTCCAAGAAGATACACAATTAGCCAATAAGCAGGTGAAAAGATTCTCATCGTCATTACTCCTCTGTAGAAAAATCCAAATCAAAACCATAGTGGGATATATTGCTTCACACATGCTAGGATGGCTTCTATCAAAAAAACGTAAATGTGGACCAGGATGTGGAGAAATTGGAACCCTCGTATGTTGCTGGTTGAAATGTAAAATGTGGCCACTTGGAAAACAGGCTTGCAGTTCCTCAAATGATTAAACACAGAGTTACCATACGACCCAGGAGTCTCACCTTAGTATATGCCCCAAAGAAGTGAAAATAAATGTTTACTCAAAAACTTGTACATAATTTTCCATATCAGCATTCTTAATATCCAAAAAGTAGAAACCACTTACATGTCTATTAGCTATGAACAAAATCCAGGATATCCATGCAATGGAATAAGATTTGTCAGTAAAAAAAAAAAAAAAAAAAAAAAAAGTACTAATAAGTACTACAACATGGATGAACCTTGAAAACATGCTGAGTGAAAGAAGCCAGTCTTAAAAGACCACATATTACATGATTCTGTTTATACAAAACATCCAGAAATGTCTATTTTCAGAATATGCAAATCCATAGGGACAGAAAGTAGATTAGTGATTTACTAGGGTTGGAGGGAGGAAGAAACAGGAAGTGACTTAAATGTATATGGGGTTTCTTTCTGGGATGATGAAAACCTTCTGGAATTAGATGGTAGTGATCAGTACACAACTCTGTGAATAAGCTAAAAATCACTGTTGGATTTTTAAAAGGTTGAATTTGGGGCACCTGGGGGCTCAGTTGGTTAAGTGTCCTACTCTTGGTTTGGCTCGGGTCATGGTATTAGGGTCATGGGGAGTCTGCCAGAGATTCTCTCTCCGCCTCTCCCTTTGTCCCTTCCCTCCCCTCAAGTAAATAAATAAATCTTTTTTTTAAAGGGTGAATTTTATGATATAGGGTTATGTGTCAATAAGTGTTATCTTAAAAATCTTTACACAAATATAAACATAGGCCCGTATAAAATCTATAGTAATATCTTTTGTTACATTAAAAATTTTTTAACAGCAAGAGAGAAAAAGTGAATAAACCCTGTTTCTCACCAGCTTTATGAAGTCCACCTCTAGACATATTTTACTCCTATCCCCTTTTGCCTCCCCTTATTGTTCCAACTCTGAAGCTATAAAGATATCCAAGTTGGGAGTTAGGGACTGCAACGGTACAGACTATTTGTCTACTAACAAATAGATTTTTAAAACGACTTGAGCTTTCCTGTGAGCTTTTATCCACATAGCTGTGAGAGCACATTCTTGCTGCATTAAAGACAAGTCTTAGGCATTCCTTTTTTGGTCACCCCAGCATCACTCAGTGCCAGGGCATTAATCAGATTTATCACTGGTGGTGCCTTTCCAGCTTTCTTTTCTGTTCCATTGTGCTTAATAGCACTCATATTTTTCTGTGTTCTAGGTAGCTAGGGATTTTCTACTTCTGAATCCGATACCAGCCTTGGTCCCTCTTGTACCATGACTCCCATACTCAGAATCACCCTCCTTTTCTCTCACCCTCATCAAAACTATTTCTGGCTGTCTCTGCTTTGAATTCTGATTATGACTGGCTTAAAATTTTCATGCTAAGGCTGAAGGTGAAAATGGCTAACTGAAATTAAGTTTTTTTAAAAAACATTGTCATTTTAGAGCATGAGTGAGAGGGGCAGAGGGAGAAGACAAGAGAATCTCAAGCAGATTGTGCTGAGTTCAGAGCCCGATGAGGGGCTGGATCTCAGGACCTTGAGGTCACCTACCTGAGGTGAAACCAAGAGTCTGGGCACTTAACCAACTAGGCACCCCCTGAAACTAAGTTCTTTAGCATACATTTGTTTTAGGAATGAATGCATTTCCTAGTTTTGTTCACTGAGAACGCATGGAAACAATGACAATCTCGGTAACAATGAGCCTCCCCTAAGGCATCTCTAAAAATACTTCCTCTTTAAAGGAACCAGAGCACCCTAAAGGAATGTCTGATTCCAAAGCAGGGGTAGGAAGCATTCAAAATGAATCTGGACCATCATGTCAGAAAGTAAGGAAGCTGCCAGTGATCACTGAGCACACGCTGAAAGTACTCAGGAGCCAACATAAAAGGGTCCCTAGTGACTAAAAATGGGAGTATCTGAGCATTAAAAAAAAGTGACTGAAATGGGCTGGAGTACATGTGTTAAATAAATTGCAAGAGTCCCTTACGTTATTTTTAATTATTTTTTAAAAAGAGTTCTCCACTTATCCTAGGGAGACAGAGTATGCGAGCACACGCACACAAGTGGGGGTAGGGGCAGAGGGAGAGACCCTTCAAGCAGACACTCTGTTGAGCATAGAGCCGGACATAGGGCTCAGTCCCACAGCCCATGAGATCATGGCCTGAACCAAAACCAAGAGTCAACCCTCAACCAACTGAGCCACCCAGGAACCCCCCTTATGTTATTTTTTTTTCCTTATGTTATTTTTAAACAAAATACCACTTGTGGAGGCTGCAAGGAAAACAATTCGTGAATTTGAAAACTGGTGAATGGAAAGAATCAAGTATTTATTCCACATTTCTTGTGGATTTTACCTTAGGATAATCAAATAGTTACTGTAGAATACTTCGATTTTACAATTCATATTGAAACAGCAGATCTAGGTAACAACAATGCTTAAAACATCAAAGGAAAGGTTGGTGGACAATTTTATAAGGGTTGAGTCAGAATAATAGCATCTACTGATTAATCTTAATATCACAAAAAGACAAAATTGATGTATGCCTCTTGGTGTGATACAGTAGAGAATACACAGTATCACCTATGGCCTATTCTTGCTAAAAAATCTTAATCTGCTGAAGCCTCAACAATCTGTTTACAAGAAAAAGAATTTAGAAGAGTATGTTAACATGGGTATACAATCAGCAAAATCCTAAATGAGGGAAATTCTATAGAATTAATGACCTGTTTTTTTTCAAAAATTGACAAGAAAGAAAGGAAGGGGAAACCTATACAGGATGCATCAACCATATTCAGTGTGCACCTATTTAGAATAAACCAACTATTTAAAAAAATTAGGAGCCCACTGGGGAAATACATTATTTGATCATCATATGCTATATCAAGGATATAATATTTTTTAGTTAAGCTAATGGTATTCCAGATAATGATTTTGAAAAGTTGCTGTTTTGAGATGCATACTGAAGTATTTATAGATGAACTAATTATAATTAATAGGATGTTTGGGATTTGCTTTAAAATAATTCAGTTGGGGGTCACCAGGGTGGTTCAGTCAGTTGAGTGTCCAGCTCTTGATTGTGGCTTAGGTCATGATCTTTAGGGTCATGAGATTAAGTCCTATGTTGGGCTATGTGCCCAGTGCAATCTGCTTGAGGATTCTCTCTCTTCCTCTCCCTCTAACCCCTCCCCCAACTTGCTCACTCTGTCTCAAAAATAAATTAAATCTTTAAAAATAAACAACATAATTCAGTAGGAAGTAGAGAGTGTGGGTGTTCAGATGAAACCGTATTTATTTGCCATGTGTTGTTAATTGTTGACACTACGTGGTGAGTACATGGAGATTTATAATTCTGACACCTTTGTGTGCTTAGAATTTAAATTTTTAAAATTACATATATAATACAGTTTTATATATTTTTAAAATATATAGTTTAAAAATTTCACAAAATTCATGACTATACCTAAAGTTGATTTCCAGTTGGAAAATTTTGCCTTGGGTGGAAAAAGGCTTTCTAGAGCCCCTTGCTGGCCACTGCACCCTACCCAAAGTTTACCAGAGTAGTACTGGCAATTTGACATCTTGGTTTATCACTTGTGGGAGATTCTAATCTTTACCTAAACTGCTGGGTGCTATAATATGTAATAGTTCCACCAGAACCATTGTTATGACAAGATACATGTAAGAAGTACTTTTATAAAACAGCTGAAATTAACAGCATCAAGTATCATATTTTAAATATGTGTATCCTACATAGAGAGTAGCATTTTCACTTTTAAAATGAGTTAATTTTGGGATCCCTGGGTGGCGCAGCGGTTTAGCGCCTGCCTTTGGCCCAGGGCGCGATCCTGGAGACCCGGGATCGAATCCCACGTTGGGCTCCTGGTGCATGGAGCCTGCTTCTCCCTCTGCCTGTGTCTCTGCCTCTCTCTCTCTCTGTGACTATCATAAATTTAAAAAAATAAAATAAAATAAAATAAAATGAGTTAATTTTTATAGATGAAATAATACTCTGTAGGCATTTTTCATTTTGAGACAACATTAGATTTTCTTTCTCTGAAACGTTTTTCTGTCTTTTATAGGAAGTTATTTTAGGTTATATGAAAGAGGTGCTTCTTCATCCCTAAGACTTACAAGAAACTCTGCTTTGAAGAGAATAAATGGATATTGTGCCAAACCACAAGAAAGTCCAAAAGCTCCACCCTGTAAGTTTTTATTCACTTTTCTTGTTATAGACTAAGCAGCTCCAAAGAGTGAAACTACATGGAATCAAAAGAACCTAAAAGGTTGTCCCAGGGGCTCTGACATCCTATCCTATCTTGTAGTTCATCCCTCCTAAATTATACTTATATTGACTCACATAAGGCAGTGCTTTCTTCATTTTCCTCATCTGTCACTTTTAACTCTTGCTTCCAGGATTATGTTGAGTTTTTTGTTGGAGAATAGGTGCACCAAAGTAATAGTGATCTAGAAATGGTCTTTTAAGGAACCCCAAAGAGGAACCAAATCAGGAAATGATATTTTGGGTACAGTATAAATAGTGCTAGCCTTGGCTTGGGCATTAATTTCAGCCATCATTATTAGTCTTTTTACTAACTTAAATCCTGGTCACTGTCCATGTGGAAACAAGGAGCATAATATATAAACTGTAGGGTCCCCTGAGCTATTTGCTTGTTAATTCTTAATAGGAATATACTAGGGTCAGGCAGGTCTTGGTAAATAGAAAAAAACTATTCTCAAAGAATATTTATCAAGAGCTTAAAAATGTTTGTACCCTTCAGCCTGATATTGCATTTCTGGGGATTGATCCTTGGGAATAATCCCTATATGTGGAAAAAGCTTTGAGTGTAAAGATATTCTCATTTTTTATATATAATAGGAAAATGAGAACTAATCTAAATGTCAGATAATCTGGGAATGATTAAGTATATATGTTAGATCTCCTTGATGAGATTGTGCAGCTGTTTGAAATGGTGCTTGTAAATACCATGTACTGGCATGGGAAATGTTTGTCCTAATGTCAGTGAACAAAGCAGGATATAAAATTTTATATCCTTTATAAGCACAGCATGATACACATATAGATATATACACATATAAATCCCCATACTTATAGGGATAAGACTTCAGAAACACTACCAAAATAAGAATACAGTGATTCTACTATGACAGGAGAATTGGAGATATCTTTTTACCTTTTTTCCATCTATGCTTTCCAAATTGTCTTTAATGTACTTAAAAACAAAAATAGAAAAACAACTATAGAGCTATGCTAGAAGGGTTAAAAGATAAAACTACAGCAATGTATTTCTATATTTCTGATCCTCTTCTTGCCTTCGGTTCTTCATGGATTTTTTTTTTTCCTGAGGGACTTTGTAGTTCCTTTTGCTGCTGCCTTCTGATTAAGTGGAAAGAGCAGCACAAGCAAAGGTGTGGGGGTAGGAATGAGCGTGTCATGTAGGCAGAGCCAAGGAGGTGGTCCTTCTGCAAGAGATGTAGGCAGTACATAGAAGTTGGATGCGGTTATCTCCAGGGTCCCTTCCAACCCTGACAGTCTGTGATTCCCTAACTTTTTCTGCTCCTTCAGTGACTTTTTTGAAAGACACTCTCTCCCAGTCTGTGATCGTGTACCTTTTTGTTCATCTGCCTCTCTGCCGTCCTTAATCACCCTCCAGATTCTTTCAGTCATCTTGAGATGGACTTTTTTTGTCTCTGTTCTCACCATTACAGCTCCAGTTCAGACCATGTCACCTCATTCTTAGATTACAACCTCCCATTTGGACTTGCTGCCCACTCTAGCCTATCTTTCCCTTTTCTCTACCATCTATTATGCAGATTAATCTTCAAAAACATTACCTTCTTCCTTGCTTCAAAATATACAGTGGTTCCCAAATCAGGTTTCAAAAACTTAACCTGGCATTCAGGGTCTTTTGTAACCTTATTTTACCTTATAACCTTTTTCTTCTAGTGAAGTCAAGTAAGCTTCTCTTTGTTTCCTTGTTAATTCATCTTTACCTTTATATTTTTGTTTAGGGAGTTCTTTGAACTTTCAATGCCTAGGAAATTAGGCTTTTATTTTACCTCAGTCCTCAAAGACTTTTGGAACCTCATTTGAGAAATGAGGCATCCTAAGAAATCATTCAAATAAAGCTCTAGTTAGCTTGAGGTTTCTCAATGTTTCTGTTTCGTGAATAGTTAAAAATAGTATTTTCAATTGCTAAATTTTAGTCATAACCTCAAGTAAGATAACTTGTCTTGTTTTTCTCATAGACACTTACAGCCACAGAGTGCCATTACACAAACCTACACATTGGGAGAAGAAGATCCTGCTGTGGTCAGGTCGCTTCAAAAAGGAAGATGAAATCCCAGAGACTATCTCGTGAGTGCTGAATGTAGGGGTTACAAGCAGCTTTTCTTTCTCGCTGATATATTTCAAAAGCAAAGCAGTTCCTCTGAGTCCATTTAAAACCTTTCAACCAAATTTTAGAGTAGTTTTCACTTCACTAAATGTTTCCTCTTTGGTGGGTACTTGCAGTAAAAACAGTTGGACAATCTTGTGTCTTATCATAGATACCTTATGTTGTGCCTGTCAGGTACTCTGAAGTTAACTGATTGATTTCCTCTCCTAGCTACAGAAATGTGACTAAGCAGTGATGGTCACTGTTCTTAGCTTATTTCTAATCTGGGTCTATCACATACCATTGACAGTTAATAGTTATATTCTATAAAATCCACTTAAGTATTTAACAATAGGCATAAAAGTATTTATGAGCAACATATCCTCTTTTTGGGATTCCAGAAAGCATGCTTCCTATCCCTATCACCAACTTCCTTAAATCCAGCCCTGGTTGGGATCTTGGGACTTTATTTTAGAGTCTATGGATGAGTATAGATTTCCCAACCCCAGGCTATCAACATTTTGGGCCAGGTAGTTCTTTGTTGTTGGGAGCCATTGTGTACATGATAGGATGTTGAGCAGCACCCTTGCTTGGCCTTTTCATCCACCAGATGCCAGTAACATTGAGTTTTAACAGTGAAAAAGATCTCCAGACATTGCCAAATGTCCCCTAGGATGACAAAAAATTAAAAATAAATAAAACACCCCTGATTGAGAACCACTGCTCTATCCCAATGTTAAAGACCCTGATTGCTTTGCATCTTGGCCAAGAGAGATTCTGAGAAGTAGGTGCAATCTCTCCTGTGGGGCCTCTTCCTCTTCAGACACAAGGACTTGGGACAAAGCTTCTAGACATTCCTTTCTGATAAGAAACTATTCTTTTAAACTTCTGGCTTCTGGTTTTGAGGCATGATTTTAAAAGTTCATTCAGGGTATCTTTTCCCAGAAAGAAGTGTTATCTGCTTTTTGTTTACAACGGCTTTAACAGGGCCATTCTACTTCTGCCTGTCAAATAGCACATTTTTTTCACTAAAATTATTTGAGCAGGAAAGCCCTGGTCCTTCTTAACTAAAGTGACAGTGTACTTTCCTGGGAAATAAGAGCAAGGTGGAAATATCAATGATACTAATTTCTTGGCTATGTCTTAATTTCTTCCTGAATATTCTAGCAGAAAACAAGCTGCTGTATACTCATGGCCTAATAGGTGCTATATAGTCTTTGCCATGAAACACCTTCCTCAGTCTGCCTTGCAGGTCATTCCAAGATCCCCCTCAAGCCCAAAGTAGTACTTACTGAGTCACCCTAGAATGTTCTGCTCTGGGCCTAGGCAAGTGTTCATCCTTATGCTGGTAGTTCTGAACAGGTACTGCTGAACTTGCCCATTCTGATTGCTTTCTGTAGAATGGAGGGAAGCCTCATGATCTTATTTAAATGCATTTTACTTTTTTAATGTAAAATACTCAATGTATACTACTTCTTTTTAAAAAGTTTTAAATTTTTTAGGGAGCACACTGGCACAAGAGCGAGGGTGGGAAGGTGCAGAAGGAGAGAGAGAATCCTAAGCAGGCTTCATGTTCAGCATGGAGATCGATGTGGAGATGGATCTCATGACCCTGAGATCATGACCCGAGCCAAAATCAAGAGTTGGACGCTTAACTGAATGAGCCACCCAGCATCCCAAAATGTAAAATACTTCTAATGAAAAGTAAAATATATTATTTTCATGAGTATCACAGCACTTAAGTTGGACATGCCAATTCATATAACATGTTGTCAACATGGGTAGTTTGTGGTTGGCGGCCTCTCAGATGTTCTCAGTAGAGCAATTCATGGTCCTTAGCAGTTGTCCCTGGGTCTTCCCACCCCCCTGCAGGCCCAGCTTCAGTGCCTGGAGAACTCTGTTCACATTGCTGCCTCACTGGGTTCCAGCTCTCCCATCACAATGTATATGCTTTCAGGGTTCTACAACCTGCAAGGCCTGGACCCTGTGCCTCCTAGATGGCAAAAAATGTATTTTCCCTTCTGATTTCAAAAGTAATGTGTTAAAAATTTGGGGAAAAAAGAAAGGAAAGAAGTTAGCACTTTCATCCCATCACCTAGAGATAATCACTTCCTATTTACACCCCTACTGAGTAGGCCAGTGCTCTTTCCAGGGTCCATTTGGACTCTTCCTGCCCTGAGGATCTACTAAACTCAGAACCACACCTCACTGCCTATATAACAGAATCAAGGAGGAGTGGCCTTCTCTTTAGACTCTTCCTTGGTAGGCCTCTTAGCTTTCACACAATGTTTGGATTCAACCCTCAATTTTCTGTTAAGGTACATGGATCTGTATTCAGTGGACAGGTTCAGAGAGGTACATGCCAAAGAGCACAGTGTCAGGTTCACTGTCACGCAATTTTAGCAAAACATTAGTTAAAAGGTAAACATTAGGGGAGCATTGCTTAAAAGATTTTTGTGCTGTTCTAGATATTCTCTGGAATCTAAGCATTAGATTTAGATTATTAAGTCTATTCCTGGTTCAAGGCAGAGAGGAAAAACTTGGGTGTAAATAGCATATTGTTTAACTTTCTCTTACATTTTCTGAATTGTGATTTGTGTTGAAATGTATAAAACTCAACGAAGCTCATTGTAGCACCTGTTGCCAGGATATTGTTAGACAATCACTGTATTGTATAAGATCTTCTTAAGAACCCCAGGGAGAAACAGCTCTTGGTTTTACTTTTAGCATTGGCCACTAATGTGAAACTTGAAAGCCAAAATTGGGGGCCACCATCACAAGCATAGATTAATATACCATGCCTTTCCCCCCGCTTTTTTTCTTGGATTAACTTTCTTATTTTTATTTTTATTTTTTAAGATTCTATTTATTTTTTCATGAGAGAGAAGCAGAGACAGGCAGAGGGAGAAGCACACTCCATGCAGGGAGTCCGATGTGGGACTCAATCCCAGGACCTGAAGGCAGACGCTAAACTGCTGAGCCACCTAGGCATCCCTTGGATTCACTTTGTCTTCATGCTTTCTTCTCTTTTTTCCTGCTTTTAAGTTTGTGTTATCTTATTGGATTTTATGTAAAAGTTTATAGTGAATTGTGAAAATGTTTCATCTTCTACAAAATCCTCCAAGATCTCCAGGCCCTGCATCCTTTTTTCTATTTATAGGTACCATTTCACTTCTGATTTGTGGGACACAGTTTTATTTCCTACTGGCAACTTCATAAAGGAGTTAACTTTCTCTCATGCTTTCCTTGTGCTATTAGGTTTGAGATGCTTGATGCTGCAAAGAACAAGATCCGGGTGAAGGTTAGCTATGCAATGATTGTCCTGACAGTGGTAGGATGCATCTGGATGGTTATTGAGGGAAAGAAGGTAAGAGTGGACTTCCTCTGTCTCTGTTTTCTACAAAGGATATAAAAGAAATCAGGGGTTGACCCTTGAATTTATTCTTTAGGAGGCTACTTTCTACATGAGAAATGGTAAGAAACAAAATGAGAAACAGTAGAGACAAACCTGGGATATTATGCCTGAGGATAAATTGCAAGTTCTTAATTTTGGCAAGGTAAAGGACTAAATTAGTTTTGTATAAAGTTAAAAAAAGGGGGGGGGTTTAGTTATCACAGATGTCATAATATGAAACCAGAAAAATATCACTGTATTTAATGATGACACCTGTATGTCTGTATAGCACTTCTAGGACATGGGCATATTTATCCACACTAACCCTAGTGAGCATTCTAGTCACTGTTCTTTCCTTGAAGGTCGGCCACACTGGGCCATGTGTTTAAGGACAATAGACCCTAAATAAGTACATAGGCATTTAACTCCAAAAATCTGTTTTAACCCAGATCATTATTAATAGCTATCATTCATTGAATACTGTCTTCTAAGCACTTGGCTCTTCTTTCATTTGAACCTCACCAATAGTATGGCAAAATAGGTACGATTATTAGAACCTCACTGATAGATGAGGAAACATAACTTCGAAAGCTCTGCTCACTTGTCCAAGATGACACAGCTCCTAAATGGCAGAGCCACAGTTTGAACCTAGACCTAATTGAGGTGATAGTAAAATTGCTCCCACTTATCAAGTGCTCATTATATAGCAGGCATTTATTAAACTCATTCAATCACCACAATATCCTAGAACCTAAGCAGTAGGTTCTCTTATTATCTATACTTTATAAGAGGAACCTGCAGCTTAGGGATACTGAGTCATTTTCCCAAAGGCACATAAGTGGCAGGATAAAAATTTAGAGCCAAGTTTGTAAGTTCTCAGACTCCTATAATACTATCTTGTGATTAAAATATAGGGTTTTTAAAAAAATATGCAGCAGCACTGATCAAACCCTTATTTTAATACCATGTCTAATTCTATATATCACAGCTTCCACATGCAAAGAGATGTCTTATATCTATTATGAGGTATTAAAAGGGTTTTTCTATCAACCCAGCAGTAACTGACTTCCCTTATTCCCAGTGAGTACAGAATAAAAGGAAATGAACTTCTGGCTCTCTTTAGACTTGGAATGGAAAATACTGACCATTTAGACTAACCTTACGGGAGCATGAAGGACAAGTGTGCAGGACTGGGTGAAGATCTTTTGACATTTCTGTCTACCCCACTTCAGATTTTCTTCTGGCTTCCTCTTTGACTTCTCATGCATAGTTCTCAGACTGAAACCTACAGAAGCATGTGGACAGGACATAGGGGTTTCTAGAATTCCAAGAAGTCTGCATTACTTATGTATACTTGATTATACTGAGTCTAAGTACTCGAGAAGTAAGTCACCTCCTGGGATTTCTTCTAGCCTCATCTAAGGGTATACACCATATACTCTAAAAGTTTCTCTCCCTTATATGCCAGAAAACTATCTTATTTGTTTTACATGGAACTGTCCGTTTCTTACAAGTTGGTAAATGCTACTGGAATACTTTTTAGAAGAGAGAAATTACCTTGTATGCTTTATCCTATCAACTTACCATTCCCATTCTCTCCCTTCCCATACTTAATTCTTTACACGTGAAATTACATAGGTATAAGAAAATCCCGCCTTATATATAGGGTGCTAGTTTCATTTATCTGGCATAAAACTTTTGAAACTGGTCTGCTTATGTAAGCTTCACAGGCGTGTAACAGGTCACATGGAGGGAAACATGGGAGGAGGATGGTTGCCTCTCCCCCACTGCTACTTGCGGTCAAGGGATGGATAGCGGGATAGATACTGCTCAGAGTCATTAGTCACAGTATTTGTTAAAGTCTGGGATCGCCAAAGCTCAATATTTTTGGTAAAAGAGGAGTAAGGAGTTAGAAGGGTATGAAAGTATAAAATAAGTTGGGGAAGGAGAAATGGTAGCAACGAAAAGTGGAAGGAAAAAAAGGATAGAAATGAAAATAAAAGGGCATTCAATACTAAAGAGAGAAAAAAGAGAAAAGATAAATGAATAAATGATAAGGGAAGAAAGCAGATTTAAAGAAACGGGCCAGAAAGAAAGAGAAGGTAGAGGATGTGGCATTTCTCTCATGCTTGACTGGATGGGCTACAGGACTGTGAAGCATCAGAGGAAGCAGAAGGCACAGCAGGGGCTTCTGTGCTCAGGGTGTCCACGGTAGATCATTCTGGGCCTGCAGTGCCCTAGTTAATCTGTTGACATTAGTGCGGCGTAATGACAGCCTCCCCCAAACCTGCATAAATAATCACTTACTCAAATTTGTTTTACTTTAGGCTGCCAAAAGAAACGAGTCCTTAACAAGCCTGAACTTAGAAAAAAAAGCTCGCCTGAGAGAGGAAGCAGCTGTGAAGGCCAAGACAGAGTAGCAGTGGTATCCATGCTGGCTGGATTTTGAAATTGCAGGAATAATGTTGCAGCATTAGCCTGTATTAAAAGAATATGGTGTGAGGATTCATTTCATGAATCCAAAGTGTGGTTTGCACAGACTTATAATTTCCCTATTTCTGCTATAATGGTACAAATAAATTTCCTTTAAGAAATGTCAAAAAGAAAAAAAAAGAAATGACTTCTGTTTTTGTGGCTTTGATCCAGGTTAAATGCAGCCTTTCAGCTCTTGGAGAAAATGAATGAAGAATGCAACTGATTTAAACTTTAGTATTAACTCTTCTTTAGAGAGTCAGATACCGTATCTTACTTTACTTCCCATTACCAAAGTAACTTCCTCTGCAGAAGCCAAAATGGCTTCTAGTTCTGTATTTCTCTCTCTTGTGTACTCATTTCTAGAGAGATAAGGAAGGCCAGCTGAGTATGCCACCCAGGTACATCCTGGGGAGCTAACCACCCCAAATGCCAGAGCCCCGCAAAGCAGCTGGATCATACTCTGCCGTCTTGGGGCATGCTGGCAGACTGAGGCTTATCAGACAGCAGTCTTGGAAAAGGTTCCAGTAGGGTGATGAGAGTCTGGCCATGAGTTTCTGAGAATTCTGAAATCCCAGCACTTGGGGCCAGCACACACCTTCTACTCTATGGCTTCGAACTCCCAATTAGTCCTTTTGTTTTTACCTTTACACTGAATTTCTCAATTACAAAAATCTATCAAATGCGTTTTCTTACAAGTGTTGAGAGATAAGCATTGGCACATGGTATGTATTTCATTTACACTTTGGAATGCCAGCCTGTCTCATATTTAAGTATGGATACTGGTTTCTATTTTAAGAATTTCTTACATTCTCACGTCTCAGGAGTATTAATGGCTGAGAAGTCCTCATAACCATCCCAACCTGCTAATTGTCTTCAGAGGATTATTACAGATAGGAAGTAATATATGCAGCTGTATCGCACCACATGGAATTTCATAATCTGATGATGTTAACGATGTTTGTTGATATACTTTAGAGTAATCTGACCTTGGCTTTTTAGATACCAAGTTCTTTGATTTTAATCTACTTCTTTAAAAAATAAGTAGTTTTTCTTCATAGAATACTACCATTTTTAACTACTAAAGAAGTATTAAAAAAATAAATAAATAAATAAAGAAGTATTTTAGGGATCCCTGGGTGGCGCAGCGGTTTGGCGCCTGCCTTTGGCCCAGGGCGCGATCCTGGAGACCCGGGATCGAATCCCACATCGGGCTCCCGGTGCATGGAGCCTGCTTCTCCCTCTGCCTGTGTCTCTGCGCCTCTCTCTCTCTCTGTGACTATCATAAATAAATAAGAATTAAAAAAAATTAAAAAAAAATAAAGAAGTATTTTAAAGTGTTATCTTGGACATTTATTGTAAAAAAGTTTCATTAAACCAAAACTCCCACATGTTAAAATGAACAGCAAGAATTTACATGATCATTTCTCATTTTGTGTCATTCTCCTATTCAGTAACTTAGAGTAACTACCTAAGTTTACCCATTATATGCTACTAAACTCAAAACCAATCATTTGCATATATACCTTTTGACTTCTGTTGTTTTGTCCGGTCATACACAGAATTCTAGCACCATGGAAGAGAAAAGAAGTTTGGGGTGAGAGGCTCTTATGTTCCCAAAATATGTAACCTAAAAGCAACTTCATACCTTATTTTAAGGATGCTGGTGAGAAAGAGCCAGAAAGACTGGTCCAGCTGTGGCTATTTAAGTCTGGTCTGGGAGTTCCTGACCCAGAACACCTCCACATGACTGCTTTCTTCCAGACACAACCTGCAGGGCTCTTTCCCACCACTGGACATTCAGCGTCTAAGGGTTGTGACCTTGGGGCAAAGTAGATTCTCCTAAGTCTTGATTCTGTCACCTACATCACAGTGACAGTTCCCTCGAAGAGCAAGTTAGAGGATTACAAGAGAAAAAATGGGAGCCCTTATCCCGGGCGGGCACTTGGCACAACACAGAGGCTCAAAGACCTAGTTGCCTTTGTGACCCATGGGAAAAGAGAATGGGGCTTTTTCTACCCTCAGCTAAAAGCAAAACTTCATCTATCCTTAATCTTTTCTTTTTGCCCCAAACAAAAAAAAAAATCCCAATTCTTCCCATACCCTCACATAATACCTTCTTGGCAGTCATACCTTACTAATAACTCTAATACCTTATATTCCTCAGAACTTGTCAGGCAAATCAGATTTAATGAGCACTATTATACTAAAGAATACCAAAAAACTAAGTTTTGCCCTGTTACTTTCAGTTATTGTTGTGCTAATTTCTAGATTTTTTTCCACGTTTATGTCGCTGTAGGTAAAGTGGGCAGAAACCGTTTTACACTTTATAGTATGGGGATATGATTCCAAACATTTATTGAAAAATAGGCAAGGAATGAAGTGGTGATAGTATAATTCATTGTCATTCAAACATTACCGTAGTCCCTTATATATGTAAATACTGAGAAAACAAAAATGAATAAAAACCTACTTCTTTCTAGAGCTTGTAATATGCTGGAAACATGGCCGGTGAAATCATTATAAAACAAATTGGTTTGCTATAGAAAGCTATAGCAAATATTTTTGGTAAAAGAGGAGTAAGGAGTAAGCTTTCTAGCTATAGAAAGAAAAAAACCTAATTTAGCTGTGTGGTGTGGTTGGAGTCAGGTAGGCAGCGATGGTCCACAAAGTGGTGATTTCTGAACCGAGTTTAAAGTAGGGGTAGGAGTTACTCGTCAGACACATAGTGAAAGAGAATAGCCTCACCATTTAGACATGTAGCTTGCCTGATAATCATGAGGGCACAATATGACAGGGTAGTGGAGAAGTCCCTCAGGAAAATGCCATTTATGATGTTCATTTATTTTTAGTTTTTATCTTGATAAAAAACCTAAAATGTGGAGCACTCAGGTGGCTCATCTGGTTAATCGGCTGCCTTTGGCTCAGGTCATGATCCCACCTGGGATCAAGCCCCACGTTGGGCTCCCTTGCTCAGTGGGAAACCTGCTTCTCCCTCCGCTCCTCCTCCTGCTTGTACTCTCTCACTGGAACTCTCTCTCAAAATCATTTTTTAAAAAACCATACAACTTAAAATGTTCAGACTCTCACAACAAACCTAACCATGACTTAGTTTCCCCAGTTTATATGAACTTGGTTCCATGGAACCATTTCATGTAAGTGGCAGCTGCCATATATCTCCAATCCACCACTATCCCAGGCTTATGCTCTTACTCATCTTCCAAACCAATAACTGGAGTGATTCCAAACTCTGGCTCCCCTCATTTAATCAGTCATCCTATTTTGTGAACCTTACTTCCAAACATTTTTCAAAAATATTGAGAGACACAGAATGGCCATCTGTTCAGGGACAGACATAAGTTATTACCAGACCTGAAGATTAAGGGTGAGAAGCCCTAAATTTTAGACTTGCTTTTCCAATTGTCTTGCTTTGTAAATTTAGGTAATAGGTTTGAAGTCTTAAGACTGTTAAAAAGAAATGCAAAACCATGCCAAACTTAAGAGAAACCCATCTTCTTAAATACTTTTTTTCCAACTTGGCTCTACTACTTGATTTCTAAAGGAATTAGCAATTACTCGTCCACAGTTTAATTGTTTTGTCATTTCCTAATGCTGCTGATGCAATGATGTTTTCTGTAGGATGGCAAGCTGCTGAGATTACGACGTCTGTATGACCTTGTAGTTTCTGTACGATCTCTTTAGTCTGAAGGTTCCAAATGTAAACCAGATTATCTTCTGAACCAGACACAATCCATTTTCCACCAGTTACTGAGAAATTTGCAAAAATGCAGTATTTCTCATTCTTATGACCAGTGTATGTTTTCAGGCATCTGCCTCTGCTATAATCCCACAGTTTAAGAGTATTGTCCAGAGTTGCAATTAGAAGATACTTTCCATTTGGAGAAAATGTTACAAAAGAGACGGGCGGGTTATCATCATCAACAAGTGTTTTTAAACACTGGCCTGATGCAGCATCCCAAATTCTACAGACACCATCATAGCTACCTGACACAATCAGGGACCCGCTACAATTAAAATGAACAGCAGACACCGGGTCAGAGTGAGCAGACAAAGTCTTGAGGCACTTTCCTGTTTTCACCTCCCATATTTTCACACTCTCGTCAAAAGATCCTGAAACGATGAGATTGGATGGTGGATTGAAATTACAGCAAAAAACATAATTACTATGCCCCTTCAGGGTTTTCAAACATTTTCCAGATCTCACATCCCAAACCTTTAGCGTTTTATCATCTGAGGCAGAAACAAGACGGCTGGAATCTGATGACCAGGCAACATCTGATATCTCCAGGCTGTGACCAGAGAGTGTCTTCTCATACTTCCCGTCATAGGCTCCCCAAATCCTAATTACTTTGTCAGCGGAAGAACTTGCTAGCCACTCTCCGTTAGGACTAAACTTAACTGACGACACAGCCTCCGTATGTCCCACCAGAGTGAATTTAAGAGCATAGTCTGGTTTCTCAGGCATTTGCTTGCTCCGACTGGCTGAGGAGAGGAGGCCCGACTCCGCCTTGGCCTCTCCTGCCTCCGTCGCCATGGTTCTGAAGCTCCGGGTCAGCGGGTTGGGTCAGCGTCCGGCCCGGAGCCGGGCAGCCCCATATTCGGACTCTCTGCCCGGCAAAAATGAAGATTAAAAACATCAGACTCAAAAATAATCGGTCTCTTGAGGAATACAATTTCCGGTCTGTCTTGACACGTACAACGACTCAGCGGCACGGCCCGGACCCGTTTCCTGCCTCCTCGCTTCCTACTGGAGAAACAGTATTAAACGGGTCCAACGCGCCGTCGGCAAGCGTGGCGCTGGGGGTGGTTTCCGGGCGTCCACAGCCGCGCGCGGCGCTGAGGGGCGCGCGGGAGCCGCAGGAAGGGTGTTCGCCGCCCCGCCCCCACCCCGCCCCCGCACGTAGGCGGACGCTGAGCAAGCCCGCCAGACAGACAGACGAGCACGAATGAATCCCCGCCTTACACAAAAGATTTCAGAAAGTAAAAAAAAAAAAAAAAAAAAAAAACCTGCGTAAGCATCACGAATTGCGGCCCAGGCGCTTCCAAACCGCGGATACACGGCGCCGCGCGGCGTCGTCGCCTCACGGCCAACCCGGCAGGCCCCACCGCAGAGCGCATGCGCACTGCTACTTCGCGCCGAGGGGCCCCACGGGAGAGGCCCGCCTGCGCCTGCGCAAAGGAAGGCGCCGTTTCCTTCTGGTGGCCTCCGCCGGCGGCTGCCGAGCAGAAGCGCAGGGCGTCCTTCGACGAGAGGATGCGGGTGTCCGAGCCTCGTCCCCGGCCTCCCTGGCTAGCGGCGACTATTTAAAGGAACGTTCATTTCTTTTTTGGAAACCGTGTCACAAGAAAGGACTGGGTTTTCCGATTCCCTTTACGTTGCGGCGAGTAGGTAGCGTGGACCCCGCTCCCCCCGCCGGCGCCGGCCTAAGCCAGGGCTGCGGGCGCGCCTTTGGTTCCGCAGGTCAGTGGTCGCGGCGGCCTAGGCCTGAGGCTGAGGGAGGCGAGCGGCGCTGAGCCGGGTTATGCCCCGACCGTAAAGCTGCTGGCTTTACAGCGTTGCCTGAACGTCCTGGGGAGGACAGGGTGTCGCGGGCCTCCGAAGCCGGCGCCGGGGAGAGCGGCAAACGTGCGTTCCGGCACGTCCTCCGGGCTTCTCGAACTTTCTAAGACTACAGGTGAGCCCCGCATGGGTGCTTGAGCCCGAAGACGGCCGAGGAGTCGGTGCAGCGATAAAGGCGGCTGTAAGGTTAACCGGCCAGCGTTAGAGAACCTCAAGTCCCCGGGAACGCCCCGCGGCCGACTGAGTGAGACGCAGATACATGGTTTTCAGGGGCTGCTGTCTTTACCGAGGTGCCCGCCTGGCTCAGCCCCGCAGAGCGTGCGACTCCTGATCCCCGGGTCTCCAGTTCACGCCCCACCTTGGGCGTTAGAGCTTACTTTAAAAAAAAAAAAAAAAAAAAAAAAACCTGATGAGTTTGTACCTACTTGTAATTGGCAAATAGCTTCTTTTTTTTTTTTTTTTTTTTTTTGGACGTCAACCCAAGAGTAGCGTGTACCTACCACGTCGCTAGCGAGGCGCCCCCGCAGTCAGGTATCTCTGGATGTTTCCGGACAGCCAACAACAGTTAAGAGCATTTGGAAGCAAATTCTGCCCTATTATTTATTAGGGATCATTGAAAGTCTGGCCTTTAAAGGAGGCACGACAGGGCAGCCCGGGTGGCTCAGCGGTTTAGCGCCCCCCTACAGCCTAGGGTGTGATCCTGGAGTTCCAAGATCGAGTCCCACGTCGGGCTCCCTGCATGGAGCCTGCTTCTCCCTCTGCCTGTGTCTCTGCCTCTCTCTCTCTCTGTCTCTCTCATGAATAAATAAATAAAATCTTAAAAAAAATTTTTTTTAATGAGGCACGACCTAATTCCATCACCTGTAATGATCGACTATATAGTTAAAAGCCTCATTACCTTAAGACCCCACTACTCTGGTTTGGAATTTGGGCAGGAATTGGACAAAAGCTGAAGTCTTAGCTGGTGCAGATTAACCGAATAACGATAACGAGGTGCTGGAAATAGGAAGAGCATCTTTTTAAGTAGATTGTAACATCCATTTATATCCGTTAAATTAGGATTCTTAGCTATTTATTAAGGCCAGGCCACCACGGACCATTCCCTTTGTAACTTTTTAAAAAGAGAGCACTTTTTTTAATCTTAAAGTTGTGGTTAAACTCTGCTTCTTTCCCATTAGCTTTTGTGTGATTTTTACTGGGAAGCTTAGAAACCCTCCCAAAATTTTGTATCAGTTGAGACCATTTTCATTTTTATTAACTCCTTAAAAAATAAATTTAGGAGCGCTATAGAGAACAAAGTGTAGGCTTTGTTCCAAAGATTTTAAGTAAATTTGTATTTTTCAAATACCTGTTCTATGTGCCAGGAGAGTAAAGAAGGGAAATTATAGAAGGTAAACTTGTGAGATGAAAACTAGGAGGGGGTGTTGGCGCTGGAGTATATTTTAATGACCCACTAGAAATACAAGAATGAGGGGAACAAGGGGCAGTCAAGGCACCTAGTGATAGGAGCGCCTGTCTGGCTCAGTGAGTAGAGCAAGGCCACTGGATCCCTGGGTCATTGAGTTCAAGCTCCATATTAGGGTAGAGTTTACTTTAAAAAAAAAAAAAAAACAGGAATGTCCAGAAATAATTTTTCTTCAGATTTTCCCAGAATTTAAGGAAAGTTCCACTATTAAAATCAATTCCTAGGTCTTTGGAATTTTTTGTTTACAAAGTGCATCAGGAATTTGTGTAAAGATAATTAAAGCTACGAATGTAAGTAGTTAAGTCTTTTTATTAGTCATGTTCTAATATTAATATGTAGTCCTGATACTGTAGTCCTTATGAATTAGGCCTAAGAATTTTGTAGTTAGGTCCTTAGGAGAGGGTAGCATCAATGTGGTGTGTGTAGGAGTAAGGAATACTAATAAAGGTAAATCCAAAGTGGCAGAAATCGTAATTAGAACTTGGCATTTGCTGCTCTCAAGCAGAGTTCCTCAGGTGGTCCTGTTTTTAACAATTTCTATTTTTGCTGCTCTTAATCTTCACCAGTTAGGTGATTTAGAAGTTTCCTTCTCTTTAGAAGTCAACTTGTTTAGATTTCCCATAAATGTCTTAGAACTGAGTTCCTAATGATTGAAAGATTTATTTCCCTTTTCCGCAGTCAAGTTTGCAGATATTCTAAATAGAAATGCCACAAATAGGTCATTTTTTTTTTTAATAAATGTTTTGGGTATGTGTGTCAGGACTGGGATTAAGTCCTGTATTAAGGAATGTCTTGACGGACTCCCTTCACAGCAATTCCAGTTACCAAATTCTGTTCTCAAAAATCAAGCGTAATAGAATTATGTAGTTTCTTAGTACAGGTAGCAATTTAAATAAAAATTTACTTGGACTAAATATGGAGTGGCCTATTAATTTATCTAAACTGAGAGCCATCTTAAAATGAAAGGGAACACTAAAATAATCAACTGATGCTAACTGAGCTAAAACCTGGGACTGACTATACCTAGCAAACCAGTACAGTCACTGACTTCTAGAGGACATAAATCACAACTTAATCTTGGAAAATTCTGTACTCTTCATATGGTAGGTTACACCTCAGCCTCTCCATCTCTCTCTCAAACCTGTGCGCTCTTTCCCCACCACTGTGGTCTGGGTTTCTGTTTTCCCCTCACCACCACTAATGCCCAAGTGGTTAGATGAGGCAATGAAATTTGTAAACTCAGCTGTTTTGTACTATAGATGACAGTGTAGTATGCAGGAACTAGTTATATTTTGCTTTAAGATTCTGTTTTCAGAAAAAAATACCTGGCCAGTAGAATCGCTCAGCAATACATACAGTAGTAAAAATGGAAAAACAAAAACCCTGCTTCATAGCCTAAGGCAACCACAAGCTTCCAGATAAGTTGGATGTAATTGGCAAAGTTTTTTTCTTAACGTTAAAATAGGACAGAAGAGATTAATGTGCTATTTTTGATAATACAGATACATGGGGTTATTATAAGTTACCCTGTAAAATATACCTGTAACTTTTCACAGAAGGTATAGGTTTTTTTGTTTTTATATGATGAACTGCTAGGACTGTGTCTGCTTTTGTAAACTTCAGGTCAAATTGATGTCCTCCTGAAAGGTAATCACATTTAAACACTTAAATATTGAGACATTAAGTCTTAAGAGTTAATTCCTGGTTTCAAACAGCAGCATAAAAGAATTCTTTGAATTTTCTTTTATAACCAAGTACCCTTTACTAATATCACATCGATGCATATTCCTTCAGTCATTTAGTATTTATTGAATAGTCTACTATGTGCAAGGCACTCACCCATGGCCTGACAGACCACATTCAAGTACAAAGAATCATCAGATCCATTCCAAATCAAAGCGTAAGAACACTTTGAAAAACAACATAGAGTGGTCATAATGATGAAGTAAGCAGAACATACTCAACAACATAAAGAGGTGATCTATCTTTTGATACTCCTTGGGACGAGATTCCTTTAGGAAGTCAGCTGTGTTAAGTTCACGTCCATGGATACCACTGCTTTCTAAGACCGAATTCTTCATTCCAAAGCCTTTCCCTCTCTGTGTACTTCTACATTGGAGTTTGTTGAATGGAAACATGTTTCTAAGTTTACCCATTATGCTACTAAACTCAAAATCAATCATTTGCATAAATACCTTTTGACTTCTGTTGTTTTGTCAGGTCATATACAGAATTATAGCACCACAGAAAGGAAAAGAAGTTTGGGCTGAGAGGCTCTTATGTTCCCAAAATACGCAACCTAAAACAACTTTATACCTTAGTTATTTTAAGGGTGCTGATGAGAAACAGCCAGAAAGACTGGTCCAGCTGTGGCTATTGTTTAAGTCTGGTCTGGGAGTTCCTGACCCAGAACACCTCCACATGACTGCTTTCTTCCAGACACAACCTGCAGGGCTCTTTCCCACCACTGGACATTCAGTGTCTAAGGGTTGTGACCTTGGGGCAAAGTAGATTCTCCTAAGTCTTGATTCTGTCACCTACATCACAGTGACAGTTCCCTCGAAGAGCAAGTTGGAGGATTACAAGAGAAAAAATGGGAGCCCTTATCCCGGGCAGGCACCTGGCACAACACAGAGGCTCAAAGACCTAGTTGCCTTTGTGACCCATGGGAAAAGAGAATGGGGCTTTTTCTACCCTCAGCTAAAAGCAAAACTTCATCTAATCTTTTAGATTAATCTTTTCTTTTTGCCCTAAATTTCCAAATTTATACCCAGTGGCAATTCGATATTTTTAAAATAAGTGGATAACTTGCTTCATCCCACATTTTTGTGACGTCCTGGTACCCACTGTTAGTACCTATCCTTTTCTGACAATAAAGTATGTTATAGGATACTCTCCATATTAGAGCAGACTTACTGTACTAGTGCCCCATCTGGCCTTCAGTTACTTTAACGTAAAAAAAAAAAAAAAAAATTTATATTTTTAAAGGAATCTCTACTCCCAACATGGGGCTCAAACTCATGACCCTGAGATCAAGAGCCAGCCAGATGCCTCATGAGGAAGCAGATTTTTTTTTAATTTGTAAAATTTCTTTAAGATAAACTTTTTTTTAAAGTAGGCTCCATGCGCAACGTGGGGCTTAAATTGACCACCCTGAGATCAGGAGTCACATGCTCTACCTACTGAGCCAGCCAGGTGCCCAATCCCAATAATGAACTTTTGATAAAGGTAGCTAAAAGTATTTTCCAACTTGGCAGATACCTATTTATTCTGCTCACCCAACAATGAAGACAGAAGAAAGTGGCTCTGTTAATTTCAGATGGCAAAAAGTCCAGATTTGAGACTTCATATATAGATAGGTACACCTATTTCTCAAATGAGCAAATTTTGGAATGTAGGAGGTAGAACATAATATATAAATATGAAAAGCAAACAATGCCCTTCTAAAAGTGGATCCCTTTTCTTTACTAAAAAACATCCTTACACATCAAGATTTCATTGCAATATATATGAAAAGCCCCAAGCCCTAAAATACTAATATGCAAAGACTTGCATACTGATATAAAATATGTTCACAAAACCAATCAGCAAGAAAGAAAAATCTTTCAAATTGAGGAAACCCTTTCATAACGCAACCCCAAATTAGGGGATTATAAATAACTGAAATGTTTAGCACTAGAGAAGTAAATTCAAAGTTGCCTGTGAGTGGCCATGTACAACAGGATTTAATTGACAAAGTTTGGTTTATAAAATATATTACATTTTTTTCCTCAGGCAAAATTAGCAACAATCTGGAATAATTCAGATTTATTATGGGATAATTGTCATTGTTTAAATTTGTGGCAATATGAAAAAATGGCCCAGAGCCCATTTGGCTTTATCTAGCAGATGGAAGAAACCATCCTAGGGCAATAGTTTTCAAAAACAGTGTAGCTGACAAAGGTTTAAAAGGGCCCTACTTAGTGATAATTACATGACTTAAAGGGTTCCATAGAAAACTCATCTGTTTTCCTTTCCTGGTTTTTCTCATTCCAACCATATCTACTTGTTGGTCCTTCAAATGCAGGGTGCCTTTATATCCCAAATGCTGTGAGTGTTTTTCCCCCACCTAAGTTTTCATTTCAAAGAACACACTTTGAAAGTCTGGAGGTAAAACTGGGGGGAGAGGGATAATCATGCCACTTCCCCCCCCCCAATTAGTATATATTGCAGAAGAGTTTTCCTGTGTTGAAATTAACATGCTTTTGTAATGAGTAACATCTTAGTGATAGGGTTTCAATAAATTCAACGTACATTAATACAATCTGGCAGGCAGAGAACTGAAATTAGGACTTAGTTACCTCCTAAAGTCTCATTTCTATAACTAAAAAGGCTGCTTTATCAGTTCTAACAGTTATGCTGGGATTTATCCTTCAGTTAATTCCAATTTTTATGTTAAAAACATTTTATTCCAAAAAAAAAAAATTAGCTCATCTCATGGCTCATGAACTTGTAGAACAGGAGCAAGATAAATTCCTGTTTTAGACAGAAAACAGATCACAATAGTTAAATGGACTTTGTTTAATTCATTCACTGAGATACCTGCAATTGCAAAACTCCCAGTGTATGCTATTTTCCTACTAACCTGGGGAAACAACTTTGTGTGCTTTATCTTTTTTCCACTCAAATTGGCTCATCAAAAATGAATTGAAATTTGTAAAATTATCCAATAGAAGGTACATAATGTAAAACATCCTAGAGAAATGACGTGTTACCAGTGATGTACAGTTTTAAAAAACTCAGCCACAAAAAAAGTCAAAGCTAAAAACAAGATTTTTACTATGAATCAGTGCTTCTATTACCCTTCTGAAAGAAGTTATATTTTAATGTGATGTAAAGGCAAAATTGAACTTTTTTCTTTAAATTAAACACCTAATTTGTCCCTAAAATTACAAAGAATCAAAGTCTTTTACAAGTCAAGTGCAGTAAACTAAAATGTCCTTTCAGCACAAAGCAGCACTAGAGAAAGTGATAGGTGGGAGTTGACTAGTTTTGCAGTGGCTGCTCCATCAGTAACAGACAGACATCAGACGGTATCCATCCAGAGCACAGACACAACTACAGAGTGGATGCGAAGAATGTGTCACACACTTGGCTGATATATGTCCTTTGTCTTTGTATCTTTCTACTTTGAAGTGGACTTTTTAAAAGTTTAAATCAGGTTACGTAAGTTGGCTGCTTAAATAACAACATGATGAGGTATGAAAGCACTGAATATCCCTAACATTCAGCAGGATTTACCAGAGATGTATGATAACCTGTCAGGGGAACTTCCAAATAGTACATTTTGGGGTTATAATGAATTCTAGAAGAGAACAAGATTAAAGAGGTTTAAAAGGGTATTCTTTAAAACAGAAGTGAGCAACTTTTCTTTCAGAATTCATTTTGAACAGTATATCAACAAAAAAAATCTTCTCTGATAGTGTGTCCCAACATTGAGTCAAGATGGCCAACTAGCACCAAGAAGTCGTATTGAACTCAGTTGCAGTTCTCTTGGCAATTAAGCTTATTTTTTCATTCCGGTCCAAGCACAAATGTGGATCACTGAAGACAGTACTGGAAGCGCCAGTTGCAGGTACATTGCAGTTATCATTAAATGAGCCAGAAGGTAGAAACTTTTTATTTTATGGGGAGTTGACTGGGCAGTACTAGTAGGAGATGAAATGATTAGGGAACAATGAGGTTATTAAAAAAAAAAAATCACTGCCCTTATTTGGGTTGAACAGGTTATGTTGAGAAGATGATTATTTAAGATAAGGATGCTACATTAAAGGGATCATATATGCAGCATGAATACATTAGAATCAAGCTGCACCTGGCTAAGAAAAAAAAGTTTCCCTAAGTAACCTTTATTTAGTAAAAGTATGTGTTGTCTGCCAGTCACAGAGGGGAAAAGCACCTAGGGTAAACTCCAATTTAATGAGGACCTTGATCAGGACCACAAAGCCTGAAACATTTGTTTTAATGCAGAAACACAGCCTCTAGTCACACTGGTTGAGCCTGGGAAAATTGGAGGGATTTTTTGTTTTCTTTTTTTTCTTTTTTATTGAATTACAGGATATTGTTTCGATTACTAAGGATTCTAAATCTTCATACCAGCATTAGAATCGAACCACTTCCAAATCCTAAGACACATAAGACCAAAGAGAAGCAATAGCCATACAAATTAATATGTGCCCCTCTCCTTTCTGCTCTAAGGGAATCTTCAAACCAGTATCACATTTAAGAGTCAAAGTGTTAATTCTTCAGCATTCCTGACAACTAGAAAGCACATTCACTGAAGGCTGAAGGTGAGGGAGCGGATGGTTTTAACTTTAATATCTGTGAAGAATGGCGCCAATAGAGGAAAGAAAACCATCCAGTCTCAGTAAGGATTAATGCAAATTTGGCTAGAAAAGCCACCAGGTAATCCAAGGGTTCACTGTGGAAGAACTCATGAAAAGTACTCTGAAGTATACACAACAGGTCTAAACATCTCCCTTGTTGCAAGTAGTTGTGTGAAATTCAAGATAAAGGTTTAGTCTCATCTTTTAATATCAGTGTTTTTCCCCACTTTAAAGGGAATGAGGAGGAGTCCTCTTTTTCCCCCACAAAGAAAGGGAGCCACATTAATATGTGTATAATCCCATGACTCTTATAATATATAAGTGCGGATCTCCAAAGCCTAGGGATTTTCCATAAGAGTGGGCCGTTCTGGTTACCCTTTTTATTAGAAGGGTATTCCACCACAGAGAGCCAGAGGTTTTCCAGATGTGTGTAAGAGAGCAGGTGCGCAAGGCAAGCAAATGAGCGCAAACAGTATTATGGAAAACATTTGAGAAGTTAGCTCCATGAGGACTGTGGGCTCCACAAGAGGACTTGACTGGGTAGCCTGGTCTGACACAGGAACATGAAAGCAGAGTATTGCTTCAAAGCTGGAAACCTTCCATAGGAGCCTCACACTGCTGGAAGATGTACTGCTGCTGGCTAAGGTCAACCTGGGGTGCAATGCTGCTGTCCTCATCCTCGGTCCCGAAGTAATGCTCGATAAGATCAAAGGCCTTCTGGTAGATCTCCTGGTTTTCATGACTCTGTAAGAACTCAATTTTATCCAGACCTAGAATGGAAAAAAGAAAAATCTGTGTGTGAATACATATATATTTTTTGTATATATCTGTTGGAAATGCCAACGAAATTGTATTGTGCCATCTCTCCTTTCCTACTGTAAAGGAAGATTTTCTCCTCTACTTCTATCTTTAGTATTTTGTAACAGCACAGAAAATATCACTGGGATTACATTTGAATGCTAGTATTACACACTGACATCTTAAATACATATGCAAGCAACAACCAGTCCCCAGATGCAACTTCCATAACGGTCTTCACATCATTCAGTGTCCGAGGCCAGTAGCAGAAGTATTCCTTTTGAACTGTATCTATGACCTAATTAATTCTTGGCTCTGATCCAAGTTCAGAGCTTTTGAATATGTCAACAAACGAATATGACATCCTTAAAATAACAGCCAGAATCAATTTCTACTGCATAATCTAAGAAGTCCAACTGAAACAATTAGCCAACATATTCCCTTTACTAAGTTTGAGCCCATCAGAGCTAGGTTTTGCTTTTACTTGCAGGCATAAGCAAGCTGACTGCTATAGCAATACTGGAAATAAATGTTACTATTGCTCAAAGGAAAAAAAATACATATTCTTATATATCACATTAAAATACATATACATAAAAAAAATTAACAAGTTACTTCTGTGGAGAAAGATCTCCAGGTACAGGAACATTTTCCTTTTTTATACATTTCAAAATATACTAAGTAGGTATAGCTTTTTTTTTTTTTAAGATTTTATTTATTTATTCATGAGAAACAGAGAGAGAGAGGCAGAGGAAGAAGCAGGTTCCCCATGGAAGCCTGCTGCAGGACTCGATCCCAGGATCCCGGGATCACAACCTGAGCTGAAGGCAGACATTCAACCACTGAGCCACTCAGGTGCCCCAGGTGTAGCTTTTATAATCAGATTTTTTTTAAATGGTAAATTGTTAAAATAATTTTGGAAAACAGTTCTGCATTATCTGGTAAACGAAGAAGAACATACCCTGTGATCCCTAATTCCAATCCTAGGAATAAACAAACCCTAGAGTAGTGGTTGAAAACCACTATGGTTTTGGCTATGCATTAAAAAATCACTTAGGAAACTAAAAGGTTAATATACATTAGTAATCTAATGATGAAGAGTACAGTTAACACTGAGATTGGAAGAATGAAGAAAACAAATGGCACATATTGAACCTTCAAGATGAAACTTTTAGGGATCCCTGGGTGGCGCAGCGGTTTAGCGCCTGCCTTTGGCCCAGGGCGCGATCCTGGAGACCCGGGATCGAATCCCACGTCGGGCTCCCGGTGCATGGAGCCTGCTTCTCTCTCTGCCTCTCTCTCTCTCTCTCTCTCTCTCTCTCTCTCTCTCTCATAAATAAATAAAAAAAAAATTTAAAAAAAAAAAAAAAAAAAAAAAGATGAAACTTTTAGAGTCAGGCACACTTTAAGAACACAAGAATTGGGAGACACAATCCAAAATGCAAACTCTAAATAAATCTTACAAGAGAAAAGGAATAGAATCTGGCATCATCTACAGTAGATACAGATATTCTTGAGGCTCAGATGGAGTAGTAAAAATTCAAGAGTACCCACGAGGGCAAGCAAGCAGAGTCCAGGAACTGGGAAAATCCTTAGGGTCCAATGGCTAAATTGAAGGGTACTCACTTCTCTTCACAATTAATGCATATTCTTTTCCAGTTCTGCCTATTAAACAATATTATTCATAAGAACAAATTTTTCAAATGAGTTTGCACTCACTGACAGATGTAGACAAGTCAGAAAAGCAAGAAGAAAATTTCAGGACATCTATTAAATACACTATCTTACCATATGCTTCTTCAATCAAAGCGCAGTAAGGGTTAATGCCAGTGCCATTCCTTTTGGCTTCTTGTTCTCCAAGCCTCAGGATATTTTCCAAGCCATTTAGGGCAACCTGTACAATCTTAGAGTCCATGACTGTGAGGAGATCACAAAGTGGCTTGATACAACCGAGTTCTACGAGGTACCTAAATTAATACAAGGAATAATTTAGTTAAAGCTTTCAATTTCATAAAACTTTTATGAGATAAGTGGGTCATCCTCCAACTATAGAGATAAAAAAAAGCACCCATTCAACCTAACTGGCTACACCTTCTCACAAAGCTACAAATACATGAAACAAAACCAATTCTCTAAAACCATCTCCATTTATCCCCCCTCCAACGTTACTGGACTCCAAGAAACTGAATACTCTTACTCTGAATATGAGCAACTCATCAAAACAGTATACTTTTGGCTAATTTCATTTTTGTTTCTGTAGGTAGCCACACCTCTGAAACAGGTGCTAAAGCCACCATAGACCCCAAAAGGCCAATTCTATTTTGTACAAAGAACTCTTAAAATCCCCAAAAAAACAAATAATTTAAAAATGGTCAAAAGATCTCATGGCAAATAAAATATGAAAAGATACACAACGTTAATATATATCATCAGGGGACTGCAAATTAAAACAGCTTCTTAACCGACCTGGGTGGCTCGGTCGTTTAAGAAGCTGCCTTCATCCCAGGTCATGATCCTGGGGTCCTAGGACTGAGCCCTGAGTCAGGCTCCCTCCTCAGTGTGGAGTCTGCTTCTCCTCCTGCACCGTCCTCCGCAACATCCCTGCAACATCGCCGCTCATGCGCATGCTCCATCTCTCTCACTCTCAAATAAATAAAAATCTTTAAAAAAAAAATGCCACATCTATTAAGATGCAAAACACAACAATACCAAATGCTGACAAGAATGAGGGCCAACAGGAACTCTCATTTTTTTGCTAGTGGGACTACAACACAAGATAATCACTTTGGAAGGTGGCTGGCAGTTTTTGCAAAGCTTTCCATACAATCCAACAATCATGCTGTGGACATTTACCCAACTGAGATGAAAACTTAGGTCCATGCCAAAACCTGTACACATTTATAGCAGCTTTATCCATAATTCCAAAAAAACCCATAAGTAACCAAGATGTTCTTAAATAGGTAAATGGATAAACTGTAGTGTATCCAGACAATGGGTTATTATTCAGTGATAAAAAGAAATAAGCTGTGAAAAGACATGAAGGCAATTTAAACATACTAAGTCAAAGAAGCCAGTCTGAAAAGACTCCATGCTATGTGATTCCAAACATGACATTCTAGAAAAGACAAAACTTTTATAAAGACAATCAAAAGTGGGGTGCCTAGGTGGCTCAGTTGGTTAAATGTCTAACACTTGATTTTGGCTCATGTCATGATCTCAGGGTCATGAGATTGAGCCCTGTACAGATCAGGTTCTGTGATGGGTGTGGAGCCTGCTTAAGATTCTTCCCGTCTGCTCTTCTCCCCCCCCCCCCCAAAAAAAAAAAAAAGACAATAAAAAAAAATAGTGGCTGCCAGGGATTTGAGGGGTGGGGGTAAAAGAGTAGTAATGAGGATTTTTTAGGGCAGTAGAACTATCCTGTATATCACAACAGTGGTAGAAATAGGACATGCATTCACCAAAACCTACAGGATTATACAATACAAAAAGCTTTCAGCTCAGGAACACCTGGGTGGCTCAGCGGTTGAGTGCCTGCCTTTGGCCCAGGTCGTGATCCTGGAGTCCCGGGATTGAGTCCCACATCAGGTTCCTTGCATGGAGCCTGTTTCTCTCTCTGCCTATGTTTCTTCCCAACATCCCCCTCCCCCCACCCGTGTGTGTGTCTGTCATGAATAAATAAAATCTTTAAAAAAATAAAAATAAAAAGCTTTCAGCTCAGCTCATGATCTCAGGATGCTGGAATCAAGCCCTGCACTGGACTCCTCACTCAGTGGGGAATCTGCTTTTCTGCCTCTATCCCTCTGCTCCTCCTCCACTTGCACTTTCTCTCTCTCTAATAAATTAACCTTTAAAAACAAAAACCAAGCTTTATTTATGATTATAAACGTTAGTTGCAAATTTGGAAAACACAGAAAAGTATAAAGAAAAAATACAGAGATTAACCACCACTATTATATCCCACTATTCCTTCCTCTGTGTTCTCATTTTTTAATTTTTTTTATTTTTATTTATTTATTTATTTGCTTATTTATTTATTTATTTATTTATTTATTCATTCATGAGAGACAGAAAAGAGACAGAGAGAAAGAGGCAGAGACACAGGCAGAGGCAGAAGCAGGCTTCATGCAGGGAACATGATGCGGGACTCGATCCCGTGACTCCAGGATCATGCCCCAGGCCAAAGGCAAGCGCCAAACCGCTAAGCCACCCAGGGATTCCCTGTGTCCTCATTTTTATGAAGGGTACCCACCTACCATCTTCCCCAGTTACCTCTGACTCTTCCCTTTCCTTGCTACTTAAAGCCTGCCAGCAAGTCCTACAGAACCTTCCTTCCCCTCCTGAGATCCATATCTCATGCTACCATCTTAATCCGGGCTGTATACTAACTACTGCAATGGCATCTTAATTGCTCTTTCCTCCTCAAAATACTATGTTCTTATATTACTCTCAAAGTTAAAGACAATGAGTCTAATCAATACTCACGACTAAGGCCTTCATCCCAGTTTCCAAAACCCACCAATTCTTAATTCTTCATCTTGCAAAAGCATAACCTATAGCAATATTGATTTGCCTCTTCCAATAACATTACCTGTGCACATTCCCTCACACCCTCATACTATTTGCTCTCCTCCACAATAACCAAACTTCTACCCAATGGCAAGTTTCATCTCTTCCATGAAACTTTCTCTAATTCAAGACAATATTCTTCCTAAGAACCCATGTATTAGCATTTGATTATATTTAACCTAAAAATTATGGGTATTTCCTAAGTTACTCTAATTGATTCTTGCATCTAAATCTTCTCTACTGAATAAGAATAAGCAAAATCACACAAATGCCTTTTGTCAGTGATAAAGTCAGTTTATTTTCTGTGATTTGGACTGTAATAATTTTGTAATAATTTTTCAACTCTTCATTTGGTTAAGAAGAAACTGCTAGGAGATTGATCATGAACTTCATTAATATTAGTAGCTATACTGAATTTTAAAAAGGAATAGTAAGTACCCTTTCCACTCTTCTTTAAACAGAGCAAAATACCCTTGAATACTTTCTGATGAAATTTACCACAGTATTTTAGGAATGTTTTAAAAATATGTATACAAGTTTAAATATTACAATTAAGAAACCGTATTATAACTTCTACATTACTGCCATTACTGGGATAAATGCCATTATCAGTGGTGGCATATTTATAATCATAATACCCCAGAACCAGAACTAGAATCTTGGGAGGTTGAAAAAGACCTTAATCTCATACAAACTGCTTCTGAAGACCACTAGAAATCTTCCTTAAAAACCTGTCCATGATGAAGTTTACCAAAATAGCTATTTGCAGTGTTAATCTATTTTAAACATTTTATTATTTTAGGTACAGAGTTATCTTCTGTACAGAGTTATCTTCTGTACCTAATCAACTTCTGAAATGTTAGGACTACCTTTTACATTTTTAAACTCCAAACAGAGCACTGAAAACTAATATGGTTAAGTGCTGACATTTAACCCACAAAGCAACAATATGAGAAATTGCTTTATTTTTCTGATATTATATATAAGGAAGGCGTTACTATTGCAACACTCGTGTAACCCCTCATCTGAATTCCCCATAAAGAAAGTTAAGGCAGGCTAGGAAGAGTCTAAGTTCCATTTATCTTTTCATCACTGATCTTTTTTTTTAAATCTGAAATACTGAATGTCCATAATTTATCATTTAATTATATAATATTCCTTTATTTTTATTTTTATTTTTTTTATTTTTTTATTATTTTTTTATTTTTTTTATTTTTTTATTTTTTTTATTATTTTTATTTTATTTTTTTTATTTTATTTTTATTTTATTTTTTTTATTTTTTTTATTTTTTTATTTTTTTTATTTTATTTTTTTTATATAATGTTCCTTTAAGGAACTGATTCCTGTCCATTTTTTTTGCCTTCTATAGCTATTAAAATTATAAGCCACCCAAGAGGCCATTTAAGTCTCAAGCTAATACAGCTTCCTTTGCAGAGTATTAATAGGACTTTCGGGAGACACTGCCTCTAGTGAATTTGGCATTTTATTCTAAGATAAACCTCTTTTAAGTCTGATCAAATTCTATTAAAATACCTAAACTAAAAATAGCAAGAGTTAGATGCTAAAGTTGGACTCCAAGGATTCTACAAGTAACCTTCTACACTAAGATTTTTCTGACCAAAAAACTCCAGAGTAGGCCAAACAACTGGTTATAAATAACTTCTTTCAAACTTCAACTGTGCTTTCTATTATCCTGGAATTATTTCAGCAAGAAGGAATGGGAGAATTAAATACACATTTGAGTCTAGTTATGAAACTCAGAACAATCTTCCAAGAGGTTAGAACTGAGCACTCATAACTAGTAGACATAATTTTTTTTTAATTTACTAGATGCTACCTGGCTAGTACTTACTTGATCTGTTCAGCTGACCCTCCAGAAGTTGCATTTGTGATGGCCCAAGCTGCTTCTTTCCTTGTCCGAAACTCGGCAGTTTGTAATATACTAATGAGGGCTGGGAAAATGTTGGCATCTATCACAGTCTGAAATTAAGTAAAAAATTAAATGAAAAAGGAAATTACAAAATTTGTAAAAGTGTTCATGATACTAATTATAACTTTTCAGGTAGCTTTCCTAATGATACCTCTCCCCCGTGTTAAAAATTAACTGGAAGGAGTTTAAGTCCTCTTACCCCTAACCTTTCAACCATACTTGATTATCACTGGTAACACCCTCCCTGGAGTCTGGGATTTTATAATCTCCTAATTTTTTCCCTGAGTTCTTTTCTTTGTTGTCTCGTTTCATTCACAGTAACAAATTACAAAAGTTCTATTTTGTGTTCTCTGTTAGTCTCATTTCTTTCACAGCATCCAACTCTGACTTGTGTATTGCAACCATCCAGTCCTCACTTCTGGGTGCTCCACCCCAAGATGGCCAAAAGCTTGCTTTAGATCTGCTATCCACTTCAAACATCATCCACCCTCTCTATATAAGTTCTCCTTCTCAAACCTTTCTTTTTGTATATTTACTTATTTATTCTAAATTTCATCAGTCACTAAGTCTCCTTTACATTCTCAATTTAAAACATCCCGAGCCACCTTTTCCCTTCCCCTTTTAGCATTGCCTTGATCCAATTCCAACCCACCACCTCCCACCAGACTGCCAGCATAGCCTGTAGTTGGACAGAGTACTTTTACTCACTCCTCATATATGAACACTAAAACAGTCTGCTTCAAATTATGTCCCTCATTTTTCTCCTTAGCTCAAAAACCTAAAATGAATTCATATCATTTCCTAAATACAGAAACCGACAAATTCTACATAGGAGCCTGACAGCAGGCAATCAACTATAGCTGAAATCACCTCATATGAACTGTTATAGCTATCAATCTTAGTCCCTGGCAGCATTCTGGCTTTCTGTTTTGTTTGTTTCAAGTCTTTATTTAAATTCTAATTAGTTAATATGCAGTGTAATATTGGTTTCATGAGCAGAAGTTAGTGATTCATCAACCATGCTTTCCTGATCAAGAACTCTATCATACTAGTGAAGGAAGCCAACAAAGTCTAGTGGAAAGACATGTCCTCTTGATCCTGTCATTTACTAGTGCTGCCCTTGAGCAAATCACTTTATTTCTCTCATCCTTAGTTTCATCAAATGAGAATATTAGATGAGATAACCTCTATGGTTCCACTCTGCTCAAAGTCCCATAGGTCTGTGTTTTATTTTTTATAACCAGTTGTTTAGCCTTTCTCATGGCCTATGCTGAATGCTTTGGCCCACTGCTTGCTTTTATCTTCCATTTGGGTTACCCTCTCATGTAATATAAGAACAAAATTAAAGGGCGGATAACCATTTAGAGAAATATGGGTCCCCAAAGGTTTTATGAAAAACTAAAGTTACCTAATACATGGGTCCACTAGAAAAAAAATATTTTACTTGGCAAGAATAAAGCCCATCTGTTTAGTATAAAGATCAAAACATTTTGAAAATTTAAGACCCTCTGTCTTGTCTTACAAATCATCAAATATTAAAGGCAGAGGGAAAAACCAAGACCAAAGCGTAAGTTTCAAAAATCTGAACTTCTCTAAGGTAGGATTAAAAAAAAAACAACAACAAAAAGTAGTAAACTATACAAGATAAGAATGTTGGAAGTTAATGATCTCCAAGGCAATAATGAAAAACAAATCTAAGGCTAACTGAAAAAAAAAACTAAAACTTGCCAATAAAAAATAGAAGAAAAAAGGACATGCTTTGGGATTACCTGGATCTGTGCTCTATTTCCAGCTGTGATATTAGATATTGTCCAACATGCTTCCTTTTTGATAGATTCCTTTGGGCTACTCAGCAAATGCAATAAACTCTGCAAAGCTGAGCAATTCAAAATTACCTAAAAGGAAAAGTTTCAAACTTAATCTCTTTTGATCCAAAAAGAAGTAAATGTTTTTAACTCATTTTAGGAACAATATAAGCAAAGAAATAAGGTCTGTCCTTGAAATTTTAGAAATAAATAACTTTATATATGTAGAAAAGTATTCAGTGGCCATAAGAATTAATTTCTAAGATTATTAAAGTTTTGTGATACATATTACAACTGTGTAACTGCTCCTTCATAAGGCATAATAATGTGTCCCTTCATCTTCCTTTCCCTACAGAATATTAAAGGTCTTTTGAATGGGTAAATATATCAAGTGGCCAGAAATTCAAAAGTGGTCTCAGATTTTTTAAGTCTCTGATAACATTCTACCCAGTAGTCAATCAACAAATACATACTTAAAGAAGTATGCCAGGTGCTTTAGAGGACACAAGGATAAAAAGGATATGTCCTCAGCTATCAAACAGCTTACAAAGATGAGGAAGAATGTGACAAATACACACGAAGGAGATCTACTCTACCAAAACTAAAATCATAAAGTTATAATGATTGAAATAATATGTGGTGGCTCAAGAATCAATCACTGAATAACAGAACAGGTATCTCATCCAGAAATAAATGCAGGTAATTATAAGTAATTAAATATATAATAAAGTTCTATGAGATTAACTAGTTGAAAAACTTTTATTTATTTTTGTGAGAGAGCAAGTGAGCGCGCATGAAGTGGGGGGCAGAGGGAGAAACAGACTCCCCACAAGCTGAGCAAGGAGCCCCGTATGTGACTTGATTCCAGGACCCTGGGATCATGACCTAAGTCCAAGGCAGACGCTTAAACGATGAGCCACCCAGGCACCCAACTTTTTATTTTTGAAAAGTATTTTTTTCAGAGTCAATTCTTAACCAATTACCAAAATAAACCCACAACCAATTTAGAGTAAACCTAAAAACCACACAATAAAAACAGAAGACAGTATCAATAAATAGCTGGTTTTGGGATAGTGAAGGACTTTCCAAGCATAAAAACAATGGAAGAAATTACAGGGAGAAAATAATAGAAATATTTGCATGTCAAAAAAATACAAAAATTAAAATGCACACTACATAGTATTAAAAAAAATTGTAACAGGTAAGATGGTTGCTGTCTTTAATATATGTAAATTGTTAAAAGACACTAAAATTTTAATACATTACCTACCTCACAAATAAAAGAAATACACATTAAAATGAAGCCATTTTTTGCCTATTTAATTCATACAGCTCAAAAATTAAACGTGGTTAAAGAAACACAATCTTAACAGTATTCAAAGATACTACAAAGCAATTTTTAAAAGCCAAAGATGTGATCTAGAAAATAAACATGTCAAAAAATAATTTAAAAAAACACTGTCTTTAACTTGTGACTTGGTATGGAGTAGTCAGGAAAAAAGACTGCGGCGGTGAGGGGAATGTCTTAAAACACGGATAGGATTTTACAAGCAAAGAGGGAGGACATAGCAGATAAAGGCTAGAAATGAAAAAGTGCTGAGACAAGCTACCACAAAATACCAAAATATGGAAGAGTTCTGTACCCCCAAAATTAACAGTAGGCTACAAGAAAGAATGCAACTAAAATCTTCTTGAAGTACAAATTCTTTAGTCTTTCAAAGTTCTTTATCTCAGTCATTAAAGAACTTCATTGTTTCTGAGATGAAAGTAGTATGAACAAGGTTGTTTTAGGAAATATTAAGCTGTAATTAGGAGGAGTCAACTGAGGGAGTAAAATGCTGGGGGGAAAAGGAAGACAAATTAGGTGGATACAGCAACAGCCCTTCTGTGAGAGAAAACATGTGCCAACTAAGGGTAAGCAGATAAGGATACCAAAACACTGAAAGTCAAGAGCTGGTGACTGTGCTATACAAAGTGTGAGAGATGAAAACACCAAATATGACTGTAAAGTTTCAATAGGGAGTGAATAGTTACCTCATTAATTGAAATGGGAAAAAAAAAAAAGACTTGGAAGCAGCTTTCTGGGGGAAAGAAGATAAACTGTGAGAGACATAAATCTGAGACATGCAAGCAGACTATTGGAGATCCAGGAATAGAACTTAAGGGACATCAGAACTAGATGTAGACAGAACTTCATTCAGTAGTTTTTGAGTCCTTACACATTGTGCCAGAACTCCTAAGACTACAGAAGGACTAAAATGAACAACATTGACTCCGGTCTCCCACTAGAATCTGGCAATCTCATAATTAGACAGTTACGGTACAGTGTGATCCGTGCTATGACAGATGAAACAAAAGGCAGCACTTAAGAGTGTGGTAGCAACAAGGCTTCTCAGAAAAAATAATATTAACAGGATATTAATATGATTAATTAAGACCTGAAGAATGAGGCGACATTCAAAGCAGAGTATGGATCTGTGTAAGGAGTGGTCAGAGCAGGGATGGGGACATGGGAGTTACGTTCGGTACAGAGGGAAGAATGTATTAAAACTTAGGGATGAGTGTGGTCACAGAGAATCCAAGGAATAAACATAGAAAAACCACAGAGCATAGCATAGGGAAAGAAAGACAGAAACTTTTTTTTTAATTTTAGAAAGTATAAAGGAATATATTAAAAAAAAAAAAAAAAAAAAAAACCTCCTTTCCATTCCTGTATCCCAGCAACCCAGGTCTCTACAGAGACAACCAATGTTACTAGTTTCATGTGTCTCCTTCCAGATAAATTTTATGCAAATATAATTAAGCATATATGTTGTTTTCTTCTCCTCTCCTCCCTGCCTTTTATATATATAGTAAAGATCCTACACACTATTCCGCCCCTTGTTTTTCTTTTTAAATGATAGAACCTGGAGATATTTCTGTAGCAGTGCTCAACAGTTTCTTCATTCTGGTGCATAGCATTCCATTAAACAGGTGCCAGATTTTAAAGGATCTTAAACATCCTCTAAGGACAATAGGAGACCATAAAAAATTATAGGTAAAAGAATGACATGATGAAATTTGCATTTTATAAGCATCCTTCTGGTGATACAGGAATGCAACAAGAAATGTCTGAACTAAGCACTACAAGGGATAATTAGAGACAGCACCTAGTGACTGATGAGAAAGGTGGAAGAGGAATAATCCAGCTAATGTCCAAGTTTTTGCTGTGGTCAACTGTTGGTGTTGTTCACCAAGGTAAAATAAATAAGCAGAGGTGCCAGCATATCAAGGAAAATAATGAATACCATTCTGGACAGCATATATTTAAAGTAAATATTAGAGCCGGAAGACACCTTCAAGTACAAAACCAAATTTTAGAAATTAGAAAAGTGAAGACATTAAATGCCTTCCTGCAGGTCAGGGCTGGTTAAGCAAGAACTAAGGGGAAAACCTAATTCTCAATTTCAATCAGGCTGCCCCAGGGTGATGGCTGAAGTTACACATAGTATCAGTGAATAATTATCCCCTCCAGGGCATAATCCCACAAACAAGAAAGAACAGGAAAAGGAACTTGCTAAGGAGAAATGATCAGTGAAGCAGAAGACCAAAAACACTTCAATACCATGGAAGCCTAGGAAACGAATTTTAAAGACAATGCCAGTATATCTGAGAGATAAAGAAAAAAGCTAGAACAGTCCACTGTGAATGATATATCTTGATATAGAAGCTGAATAGGGGAGGGGGGGTGACATTAAGAATAAGAGAGAATCCTCTGAATCCTCTTCACATAGGAGACTAACCATGTACAAAAATGGGAAGTTACTAGAAATGAGACAAAGATGACAGAGGAGGATGCTACCGGAGGCTTCCGGTGCTCACAAGAACCACTTCAAGTAAAAGGAGTAGTGGGAAAATAAACTTGACTAACAAAGGGTAAGTTCTATCCAGGGGAAGCCAAAATTGCTATAAACAACAGGTCAAGAGAGAGCCAGTGAAGGTACTGAATAGTAGCTGCTAAGGCAACATTTTTAACAAACATTAATGAAACAAAGTGACAATTCTCCCTAGTAACATAGAGTTAAATACTGTAATAGAAACAATCACAGGGTTCAATGTACTGTGTCTTACTGAAAAAAAATAGTTACATTTACTCTTACCTGCGTCTGAATATCATCTCCTGTGACAATGTTTCCCACAGCCCGCAAAGCAGGAGAAACCACTTTATAATCATTATGCCTGCAACCATGAAAAGAAATGTTAATCCAACAGTTTTATCCTTAGTCTCTCTTCCTTAGGACTGAAATCCAAACCAAATAATGTGATGGGACTTTAGAGCACAAAGGTAGCTATGGTGGTTTTTAAGGAAATGCTATGAGGTTGTGTTTGGTATCCCCTGGAAGACCTATCTTACTCTTTATTTAGTATTTCTGGATAAAGACTACAAATCTTTCTTAATAATCTTTCCCAGGTATTCCATCACCTGGATTCCAAGATCTCCCTCTCATTCTTTAATATAGTTTTCACTTCCTCTTTATGACTTATTTTTAAAGAGAGCTGGGTGGGGGGGCGCATGGGGTAGAGGGAGAGAGAATCTTAAGCAGGCTCCATGCCCAGCAGAAAGCCTGATGCAGGGCTCCATCTCATGACCCTGAGGTTCATGACCTGAGCCAAAATCAAGAGTTGGATGCTCAAATGACTGAGTCAACCAGGCACCTTAGGAATGACTATTTTTAGTGGCAATATGCCTTCTGCTCTCTATCCAGTGGTTGGTCTAAGGTCATTAATCATTAGCTGAATTACACAGAGCTTTCCAAATGTTCCTGCTGAAGGACTGCTCACAGCAAAAGAATAAGCAGTTCTTTATAGAAGCCTCACAATAAACAGATCTGACATCAATATAAGTAACAAAAGCCGCCCAAAGCACATTAAGTCAGTATCACGTATTAGTTAAAATATTTATCAGCATCTAGAAAACTAATAAACTAATATAGGGACAAAAGAACAGACACACTTTAAGATATCTTACATCAAAAGCTCCACAAGTCTCCTACATACTCCTGCATCAATGACGGCTTGAATTTTATCATTAGGGCCATCTGACAGATATGAAAGGGCCCAGCAGGCATCAGCCAGGACATCAGTGTCACTGACAAATAACAACCAGGAAAGCACATTCAGACAGGGGGAAACCTGTAAAGGGAAGATGATACAATAATGAAATTCAAAAGAATAAAAGCCAAAGTGAGGTGAGAAACTCTTAAAGGCAACCAGGCATACACATGTGGTTAACTTTGGGGGTGATTAATACTTCTAGAAACGGAGTAGCAAGTGGCCAAGTGGCCATCTCCATCTTTGGGAATGCGGTCAGTGCCTTGCAGTTTACTTTAATGAGGTGGTCATAGAACAAGGAAAATAATTTCAGAGACTGAAGAATATACCAGTTCTCAGAGTGAGATTCCTTGTTGAAACAAACTTTCACAGGTGGTAAAGCTAAGACATTCTGTGTTTTAGATACTTTGCTATGAACAAAAAATGCTAAGTTTTAAGATTCATTCAGAGCTTTGTACACAGTCGGTGAAAATTTATCCCAAATTACACAAAAACAAACAACGAAAAACCCTATTTCTCTAGATAAAATTAAACATTAAACAGTTAAAATTCTAACATTTTAAATTTTATGAAAAATTGTAATCCTTCTGTTCACATTAATATTTATCGAGTTCTACCTTGTCTGCCCATTTCCTACAGCATTATCCTTACCTTTGCAAATTCTGGAGGCGGACTTTTCCCTCTACAGAGATTAGACAAAGCCCATACTGCATTCCGGGTCATGGTGAGGCGGTTTTGCTTTGAAAATAACCTGTAAGCATGATGATACGATGGTAAACTCTGTAATGGATATTAATTACCTCATAGCATATGATAAATACTAAACCTAATGTTACTGATAAACATGTCTTTAAATAGCTTTTCTCCAGAATAATAAAGTTGAATTAATTCTAACAGCACCAATTCAGAATTTTGGCCCTAGAGTAAGATAGAGTCCCTGAAGAAATAATCTGAACTAGTAGGAAAATATCTGTAATGAAAAATAATGGAAAATCCAAAACAATTTCTAAAGATGCACTGCTTTCTGAGGAACTTTCTATATTTCTACTACTCAAAAAATAGTAGTAATAATAGAAACAAACTTACTGCAGAAGTGGGGGAAGAATATTGCAGTCTAAGACATAGTCCCTGCACATGGTACTATCTCCAGCAATGTTGCCAAGAGCCCAGACTGCCTGTGAAAGAATTACTCATTAATGATAGGCTGTGTAGTGTAATTCTCTCATAATTCTTTCAGGAAAGATGCCAAAATACCACAATAACTCTTAACAAAATTATATAGCAATTAATCAACATATATAGGCATGAACTATTAACACTTCTAAGTTCATTATCAGGGAATCAAATGCAGTAGTTGTAGGACTGGGGAAAGACTTAAAATATTATAACGTGGAATATGAACACTCATGGTATAAGCTTATTAAAGGTAGGAACCAGTTCTTATACATATTCTTTACCTCAGGGGACACCACCCCTAAGTAACATTCCATACACCCCTTGGTACAGAGCAGAGATTCAAATGGCTTATCAATCTCTGATAAAAATGTATTCTAAGCTTGCTTACAAAAGAAAACAGTGAACAAAGAATTTAAGAGCAATCAAAATGCAGAAAGCTGTTAAACTTCTGGGGGTAACGGATATATTATCTTGACTGATGGTTTCACAGGTAAATACATATGTCAAAACTTATCAAATGGTACATTTTAAATATAGCAATTTTCTGTATGTAAATTATACCTCATTTAAGCAGAAGAAAATCCTGCTCATTTAGCATTGACTTCTATTTATGAATTTTATAAAGTCTGCAGTAATAAAAAATTCACGTTTTCTAGCTCTTTTTCTGCATAAAAGTAGCAAAGACCTATTACTTCAGTCAATGCTAGAGATCCCACAAGTAAAAGCTCCGTAACTACTTACGTGGTCTACTACTAAGGCTGGGGCACCTGGCTGGCTTATTTGGTTAAGCGTCCAGCTCTGATTTTGGCTTAGGTCATGATCTCAGGGTCATGCCCCTTGTCAGGCTCCACGCTCAGCGGGGAGTCGGCCTGATATTCTTTCTCTCTCTTCTCTCTCCCCCATCCTATTATCCCCTCCCCCTGCTCATATGCACTCTCTAAAATAAATAAATAAATATTAAAATTTAAAAAGTATATAGGGCTTGGGGCACCTAGCTGGCTCAGTTGGTGGAGCATGCAAGTCTTGATCTCAGGGTTCTAAGTTCAAGACCCACACTGGGTATACGGATTACCTAAAAAATAAAATCTTTAAAAAATAATAATAAAATAAAAATAAAATGTATATATAGCACTTAAAAAAATTTCAGGGTTACAAGGGGAAAATGGTTTTATGTTTCCAGAAGAGATGCTGCCTACATTCACTATGAAATATTCCCTTCTGGTTAGATTTCTATAACACTCTCTGTGATGAACCACGGATCACCACAGCCAGGTGGTAAAACTGAGGCCCTAAATGTAGGACCAAAGGAAAAAATGGTATTCTTTCACCTGTTTCTCTTTGCTTCATTTTTTTTTTACCTGCTCCTGGACATCTTCAAATTCTGAGCTGAGCAACTCTATGAAGATAGGCACAGCTCCTGCCTGAATCACAATCCGGGTCTGAAGAGAATTCCCTGAAGCAATATTTGTCAATACCCAAGCTGATTCAAACTATAAAAATAAAAATAATTTTATTATCTTATTAGCATTTAATAGCTTGTTTTTAGCTCTAACAATAAGGTTTTCTGTATATGAAGAAAAGAATATGAAATCATTATTTGCACATAATTATCAGATGGATTCTGGTATCAATTTTAAATGGAGAATTCCCAGTAGAAATACCTCAATCTAGAAGAATATTCTGGATGTCTAAAATTTCAGACCGAAGTAGAACTGACATTAAGACCATAAAAAGAATGAGGGACTGCTTCATATGCTGATATAGTGATCTCCCAAAAAAATAAATTAAAAAAAAAAGCCTAACTGTACATTAAGATAGCTTCATATTATATTTTCTAAAAAGGCTCAGAAGGAATATATGCATTAATTTACTTATGGTATAGAATATCTCTGGAAGGCGTCATAAAAAATCATAAATAGTTGTTACCTATAGAGGTAGGGGTGAATGGGAAACCTCTCATCGTAAAACCTTATGTACTATCCTTTGGCCTTAAACCATATTATCTAATACAAAATACTTCTATAGGATGAAGTAAAAAGCAGAGAGGATGTTAATGTAAAATGTTTAAGACACAAGCACACTGAAAAAGGCAACAGATATTTTAAATAACTGAGCCAAAAGGAGTTAACTCACATTCAACTAATAGAAATGGCAACTTCAGAGCATAAGAGCTTCTGACAAAATGAGAGGGCTCCAAATTAAGGTGCAGAGGTTAAGACTTTTTTTTTAAGAACATTCTTAAAGGTTGATAAACTGGTAAACAGAAGGTATGAAGGAAATCATGGCCAACAAAAAGTATACTATTTTAGTAATCTGCCCATCTCTACAATAATTTGACTCTGTAGCCTAAAATGAAGAAATCCAAGAATGAACTCTTAAAGTTCTATTTACTTAGGAGTTCTTATTAAACTACAGTTTGTCACATGACAGCTGCCTTTCAGTTAACCCAAAAGCTTTCTGAGTCATGTGACAAACTAAATCATTAATCACTGGAGTTGCAGGGAGGAAGGGCAGAGGACATGGGATGACCATATAATTAGCATAGTCTAAAGCCATGTGAATGACAGCAAATTCACAGAAGACGCTTAAAGAAAGGGATGTTCCAAGAAACCTATAAATGTGACATACACAAATGAGATACAGTACAGCCTAAATGGACAATGATATTATGGCAACAAGGAGGACCAGACCAGGAGCACCACTGTTAAAGGGAAAATATTTTCTTTTAGGTAACTTTGTTCAGAGTTCAAGAGACTTCTAAATCTGAGGATCACAAAATAAAAACTCCATCCCATATCTCCATAATTAAATCACTCCTGAAACCAGCGCTCTAACCCTTTTCAATCTGTCTGAACTGAAACTTTACATTTATTCAGTACTTTATATCTTCAAAGCATTACTCACATATGTTCCTCACAACATCCCAGAGAAGTGTGGCTTTTGCAGTTTATGACTGAGGAAACCATGAGAAAAATATCCAACAATCTAATAATTTAAGTTATGCAGCCATTCAAAGAGACCTAGATTACAGCGTCCCAATCGAGTATACTTAGAAGTCCAGCCAGTCTCCTCTCAGACACACACCTGTAACACTGACAAGAATCTTTCAATTGCTTGGAGTTTTGCTATTTAGGGCAAAAAATTTCAAATAATGATATGCCAAAGATATGCCAGATTATTTAGGAGATGCTAAAAACAGTACACCTATAATGTAGCTTCCTTTGCTTTCTAGGAAAACTAACTAGCAGAGTTAAAATTGATTAACAGAGACAGATAATATAAATACAAAAGCAAACCTTTCTGCCAGAGGACAGGCTCCAAGCTGAACAAAGAATCATCAGATACCACAGACACCAAGCCAAAGGAATGAGAACTATGAAGAATGAGTGAGATGGGTATACATACCAGTCTATATCTAAGAGAAAATAGACTGTGGTGAGATTTTGATGTAAATAAAATGGTAACAATGACCTGTGTAGGTGAAGGCTTGTTAAAGAATTATCAATGAGAAAAAATTATAATACTCATTGCTGCCAGAGTTCAAACTGCTCTTTATCTGACGAGGTTTAGTACAGGGGTCTCACAGGAAACGAGAGGGAATTCCAGATGCTACTGAAGAGAATGAAATGGGAGAAGCAAAACAAGGTGACAATGAATAGGAAAATATAATAAGCTAAACATGGATGGAAAAAAATTGGAAATTAGGATATCTGAAAAAAAGAAGAATGTACCAGAGTTATGTTTATTACTAAGAAGTACACAGTGATGACAACCTCTGAAAACAAGATTCAGGGCCTCACTTGGCAAGAACAGAAATCAGAAAGCATCAGAGACAGAGACAGATAAGTAACTTACAACCAGAGAGCTGCTGAAAATCATAATCTGCATGAACAAGGCATTCTCTCTCTCTTTCACACACACACACACACACTGATTATTTTGATGTTTACCTTATAAAAACTCATCAAGCTGTACTTATGCCCATCTGTTGTATTGTGTGAAATGTACGTATATAGGTAGGAGGGAGGGAAGGAGGGAGGGAAAAAACTTCCCCTCATACAGGCCCCTGTTAAAGTGCTAAAAGAAACAACTTTCAAATGTGTTTAATATGTATGTTTTTAAGAAACTGGTGGTACTTCAAACTATGTAACCTCTCTTTCACGGAGTTTTGCTTTCATAGTGTTGTTGTTAATGTTTCAGCCTTGGGTCCCAGATTAGAATTTAACATGCAAGAGAGCTATGAAATGTGAAAGTCCAGAGTTGACAGCAAAAACAAATGGCCAGAAAAAGTAATTTAAGTAACCACGAGACTCAAAAAAATCAGTAATACGATGGGTAAAATCTAAGAAATGCTATCACTTGAAAATAAATGGTAGCCAGAATAATTATAATCCTTACTCCCTCTATTTTGTTTTAAACTACCATATTCTGAATGTTCTAAGAATGGTACCATGCGAGGAAAACAACCTGTCATGCTGTGATTGCTTATAAATTGCAATTCCACTATTACTTTTCACTGTCCAGACTTGCTAAATAAGGCTGGAGTTGAAATCTGAAGGTCACACTGAAGATTTGGTATTTTCTCTCTTCCCTTTCTCAGTCTCTACCTTCTGGTGCTCAGTTCCTTAAGTAAGGAAAATGAGAATCCAAAGCTGAAGTACTTCTGACCTCCTATCAAGTTTCCCACTCCAGGTTGAGGTACGCCTGGTTCCCTTTCTCCATTTGGATCAGGACTCTGTTGCTGGCCACTTTGCCGGGTCCACTCTGGTTCCTAGCAAATGCCAGGCTCACCTGGAGAGCAAGTGAAAAGAGAGGCTCACATCAGAAAAATAAACCCAGATATCAAACTCTGCAGAGAACAGTGCCTGAGTCATCTGAGCAACCTTTCAAGAAAGGTAGAGGGATCAATGAGGATGGGAAAAGATACAAGAGGATGAAGGCTTACTGCAGTTTATCCCATTAAGCTTTTCTATGGGACAAGAAGGGCAAGAATGGGGAAACTAAACCAATTTAATTTAAATTTACAGTTTTAAGAGTACTTAATGAATGGAACTAGGGTGCAATTTACTTATTTCTAGCTATTTTCATAAAAAGCTCCTATAAGAAGTTTGAGAATGCATCTCAGCACTGCAAAGGACAGTACAATTGTACATGCTGGGCCTAGACTCAAAAAACCAAACAAGCAGGCCCACGGAATATACCATAAGGCAGACCAATCTTGTATCAAAGGTTCAGATATGACTGAGGCCTTCATGTCACTGAGCTGGAGAATGCTCTTAGTTAGAGGACACTGTTGCCAAAATCCTAGATTCTATCCCTGTTCATCTTATTTGAAGGCAGATGAGTATCTGGGTAGCACTGCCCAAAGCAGACATTGTTATCTCCTTGGCATGAGGTACCTCACTGATTTGGGCACAAGGAGAGTCAGAAAGTAAGTCAAGAGACCCTTCACTGGGATTCATAGTTCTTTATGAAATGAAGGGATTAAGTCTGTCCACAGAATTTATCAGTGAGTTGAGCTATTATTATGACTATATATTATTACTCTCTTTCCAGAAGAGAAATGGCAAAAGCCCCATTCCAAAAACACACTATTCAAATTTCTAGGAAGCAGGCAGGAGTATCAGGGACAACTTACATCCTAATGCTCTCTAAGAAGACAGAGGAAGGAGTACCCTCCAAGCTTCCCAGAGCATGTCTAATTATAAGAGCACGAATTCTCCCGGCTCTAGTGTCTCCCTCAATATATTTGCTTCTCCTGCTTCTGGACTGGTTGATGTTACCCACTAGCCACATTAGAGAGAGAACAACACCGAAGAAAAGCTTAAAATGTACACAGAAGAAAAGCTGGGGATGATGATCTTTAAATGATAAACAGGGTGGTTATTTCTCAGTCTTTGGATAGCTAAGTTGAAAATCATGAGATGGTCGCTTCCAGAGGAATCATTTCTCAATCTTCCAGCCTGATTGTTTGCACAAGGGTGGAAACCTCAGAATTTAGATAGAAGCATATTAGAGATTTCCAAAGGCTTTCATCTTCAGAAGATCAAGCTCTAGGATTACAGAATCAAAAATGATGTAGAATTTACACATGCGAGCCAGGAGAGGGCATTGTGTGAGAGAACACACTGCACTCTTTAGGGAGTATCGGAAAATGTGGAGATGGGGAAAGATCCGTTTCTCTTTTTTCATTTTAGGCCTAGGAGGTTATACCATTATTCTTTAATACATTAAGGAACTGAACCTCTGTGACCACCTATTTAAAATGGCTAGATCCAGGAGAAAATTCAGTATCTCTCAACCACTCTCATTGTCAGAAATAGGATAAAAACATATTTTCACATAAACAATGATAATTTTCCCTACCTCCCTCTTCCTACAAAGCTTTTCAAATGATAAACTGCAGTAAGGCTCTTCATTTCGTCCCTCTGGTTCTCTTGGCAGGTTGCTTAGGGCTCAGGCTTGGTACTCTGCAGTGTTGGTTGTCTGGATTTCCTTTTTTTTTTTTTTTCTGATAAAAGTCTCTTTCCTTGCTCTCTAGGTGAACCTGATTATTTTTCAGGTGTCCGATGATCCTGGCCTTAGACGGGGACCAGAATTACAATCCAAGAGGCAGCTAGCAAAACAGAATCTTAATTCAAATGAAATTGGGGATTAGTAAATTTCAAACTGGAGAAGAAAAACTGATGGGACATTGAAGTACTCTACCTTTTCTGGATTTCTTGTTTTTCTTCTGGAAAGAACTCATCACCGCAACAAAGAGAGTAAAAGGAGGAGAAAGATGGGGTGGGAGGAAAGGAGAGAAAATATCAAGACAAAGCATCAAGTCTTATGAATTGTCTACAATCCTCTGGACAGTAAAGAGCCTGGGGGCAGGGGTTTTCATCACTTATAAAAATTGCCCCACTCTCCATAGCCTTAGAAAGTAAGGCAAAAACAAACAGGAGGGTGAAAATTACCTTACACTTAACTTGTTATTGGCAAATGTACTTGGAAAACTAACCTCATGTGTGATCTACTTTGCACCTAACCCATTTTTATAGTTGTGGAATCTCTCGAAAGGGCCAGAGCCCTTCAGATTAGATACTACAAAAAACAATTTAGATACTACAGGTACTAGTTAAAAGAGTAATGCAGAAACTGATTCAGTGGGTTACTACCAAGGAAATACAGCTACTAAAAAATTACCAGTTTACTAAAAATCCAACTTTATTCAGAAAGAAAAAAAACCCAAAACAGTATTTTAAAACTTCTAGGTAACTACCAGGATGAGTAGTTGACAGCTGGTTCTTTCCACTATGAAAACTGTCCAATCGGGGCAGCCCCAGTGGCGCAGCGGTTTAGCGCCGCCTGCAGCCCGGGGTGTGATCCTGGAGACCCAGGATGGAGTCCCACATCGGGCACCCTGCATGGAGCCTGCTTCTCCCTCTGCCTGTGTCTCTGCCTCTCTCTTCGCTCTCTCTGAATGAATAAATAAATAAATCTTTTAAAAAAAATTAAAAAAAAAAGAAAGAAAGAAAACTGTCCAATCTAGAAGGTGAAGAATTTCCTCTTGGAACCTCTACATAATACAATACCTGAGATAAACTAAATTAACCTAGTACCAAGCACCAACATTCATGACAAGGCTATCTCCTTGTCAGCTCTTGAGGATAAAGGGAAGGATTTAATTAGGATCAGGTTTGGGGATTAGTGAGTCTCTAATCTAGCCTCTGTTATACAGTCCTGCAAAGCCAACAAATATAATCTAAAAATCCTTCAAAACCAAATTTTACATAGCCCACCCTTAAGTTCTATTTATAATGACTCCTCTACCACAGACAATTCCCTATCAAATAAGTATTATCCACAATCACCATAAAATAGTCCTTTTCATGACTAAAAATAACAAGAATTCTAAAGAGTAAAGCCAAGGGCCTAGATGTTAACAAAGCTATCACAGCAGCTTGCAATGTGGTTGTCATGAATAATGTACCAAAAATGAACCCCTTGTGTAAATTAATAGAACTAACAAATCTGTATATAAAATTTAAGTTTGCAAAGGGAATTAAAATATGAGGCAAGAAATGAAAATGATTCGCACCTGCAGTGTACAGTTCTCTTTTCGTTTGAGGAACTCCACAAACCTGGCCACCACTCCCGGTGTGCTGATGACTTCATCAATAGGAGGATTAGGTTCTGTCTCCCCATAAGATAAAAGGAAAGAAGAAAAATAATCCTTTCATTTCAATGCAAGGACTTTATTATCTCAAACTTACTTCATAATATCCCTCCCTCCATTTTAGCATCTCTTTCATGTTGAAAATCTAAAAAAGAAAAAAATATATAAAATTTAAAATGTAAAATTGAGTTCAATCACTTTGAGAGTAGGGTAGCTCACTTTGAGACTATTGTACCTTTCCTTACAATAAGGTAAGCTTTAATGTGGAAATGATGGGCAGACTTCTCAAAAATTAAAGTTATCACCTCTACAACTTTAGAAAACTTAGGAAGTGGGGGAAAACCAAACACAACCATATTATTATTTCGGTACACTTCATTCTAGCCCCATCTCTGTATATGGGTTTTTAGTCTTTCTGTTTAACAATAAGTTGCTTTAAGAAACTGCATTAGGTGACTGCATGTGCTTGCAGGATTTAATTTTACAGCAGTAGTGGTAAATAGGAGTCAGCAAGAATTCATTAAAGATTATTTGCCAAATTAATCTCGTTTTTCATTTATGACAACAGAGTATCTTATAAATGAAATCATTCTAAGAATCTGTTGGGTAAATAGATAGAAAATGTCCTGAACGATCAGTATGGTAATTTCAGTGAGAGATCTGACGAAGTTCTTGATGACATTCATAGAGTGATGTAAGAAAAATGGCAGATGGATTACAGTACTTATTACCAGGGATTCTTAGCCAAGTCCATGGCTTTACTGAAAAACAAAAAAAAAAAACAAAAAACAAAACAAAACAAAAAAGGTGACTAATAGTTCAGTGTTATTTGGAACAAGCTCTGAGGACATGATCTTTGCCTGGTTCAACATTTTTATCAACCATTCAGATAACAATGATGATCATGATAAAGATTAAGTAGTTAAAATGACAGATTACAGAGCATGTAGGAAAAACAGTAAGCTGAAGTTAACAAGAAAACAATAGGGTTTAAAGCAGGATTTAGCAACTGAGTGTTTTAAAAAGCAACTTAAAAAAATTCTACATGGGGATCCCTGGGTGGCGCAGCGGTTTGGCGCCTGCCTTTGGCCCAGGGCGCGATCCTGGAGACCCCACGTCGGGCTCCCGGTGCATGGAGCCTGCTTGCTTCTCCCTCTGCCTGTGTCTCTGCCTCTCTCTCTCTCTCTCTCTCTGTGACTATCATAAAGAAATAAAAATTAAAAAAAAAAAATTCTACATGAAGGACGACTGGGTGGCTCTGCATCTGCCTTCGGCTCAGATCATGATCCTGGGATCCCGGATCTTGCCTCTGCCTTCGGCTCAGATCATGATCCTGGGATCCCGGATCTTGTCCCACATTGGACTCCTGCAAAGAGCCTGCTTCTCCCTCTGCCTAGGTCTCTCCCTCTCTCGTTCTCTGTCACTCATGAATAAATAAACCTTAAAAACAAAAAAAAAAAGCTACATGATTTTACAGACAAAACTTAAAAACAGTGCATGAAGAAAAGTTCTAGGGAGTTTAGATGGCTACAAATACAGTGAAGCATTACTGTATTGTGACTACCAAAATAACTGATGCTATCTTGGAGTACATTATTGGAATGTGTAGTCTCAGGACAAGGAAGACAATCTCTTCCCACACCTTAGGGTAATAAGAACACATCTGAAGTACTATATTCCAGTTATCACATTTTTAAGAGGGATGGACAGCAAACTAGAATCCAGGCAGGAAAATAGTAGAGAGCGATGAAAGGTCCTAAAATGCCCCATAGTGTGAGCAAGCTGAAAAGAGACGGGAAAGGGAAAGCTGTACATGATAATGGCCTTCAAATATTAATAAACTGTCATACAAAAAATGTAACTTTTGCTATGTCACACACAATTTTGTTATGTCTATATGTTAACAGAGCTTTCTATGCCAGGTACCTCAAAAGGGATATATTATGACTCATGACTCCAAAAAACTACACCTTACACATCTCCTGGGGGAGAGGAAGTCTGCTGTTTATTTAATGTTAGTGTTTATTATCGACATTTTAATGAGGTTCAGAGGTCCAGTTCTTTTCGCTTGTCCAGAATGGCAAAGGCCTAGTCTACTCTAATTATACCAAAAAGAAAAAAAGATAATTACCAAGCCACCAATAAATTCATACTTAAATTTCAGTCATAAAATGATAACATTAAAACCAATAATCACTGATCTTTCAACTAATATTTTAAAAGATTTTCTTAGGGCACCTGTACCTGGCTGGTTCAGTCCATAGAGCATGTGACCCTTGATCTCAGGGTTGTGAGTTGAAGCCCCACAATGGTTGTAGAGATTACTTAAAAATAATAAAATCTTTTAAAAAACAACAAAAAGGCACCTGGGAGGCTCCATTTTTTAGACATCTACCTTCAGCTCTGGTCATGATCCCAAGATCCTGGGAAGGAGCCCTCTACCCCTCTTCCCTGCTCATGCTCTCTCTTTCTCACGCTCATTCTCTCTCTCAAATAAATAAAACCTTTAAAATATATAAAATTAAATTAAAAAACAACAACAAAAAAACATTTTTTCTTAAAAAAGAGTGGAGTTTCTCAATTTGAATTAACACAAATTACTGACTACTGTTCTTATCATTTTAAGGTCTTTTATCCGTGATCTGAAAAATAGATTATGGGAAAGTACTATTTTTTAAACTAAATGAAAAAATATACAGTTGGCCCTTAAGCAATACAAAGGTTTGGGGGTGCCAATCCCCACACAGCTGAAAATCCTTGGGTAACTTTTGACTTCCCCAAAACCTAATTACTAATAGCCTACTGTTGACAGGAAACTTCACCAATAACAAACAGGCAATTAGCACATATTTTGTTATGTTACATGTATTATATACTGTATTCTTACAATAAAGCTAGAGAAAAGAAAATACTAAGAAAATCATTAGGAAGAGAAAATACATTTATAGTACTGTACTGTATTTACTGAAAAAGATCTGCATTGTAAGTAGACCCGCACAGTTCAAGCCCTTTGTCATTTAAGGGTCAACTGTACTTTAACATATTTAGAACTCACCTTTTGAAAGCAGTTTTCTGAATTTCTGTGTTGCTGAAAGCTGTTGCTCTGGGCTATTGGAAAATATCATTTCGATCATGTCGGAAGTAATAACACCACCCTGGGAACACAAACAAAAAGCAAGTATGATAAAATTTTAACTTTAATTCAAAGGAAAACAAAGACAGTACAAGTTGTGGCCACATTATTAAATTAATCGTATTTATATCTAGAAAAGTTACACGAAAGATAATCCTTACACATAGAAGCATCTGAGATGATAAACAATGTGACAAAGACAAATACTGTCTATCGTTAAGAAGCTCGTGACAACAAGAAAGTAATCTTAGTAGTAAATACTAACACAAGGAGTTCATTATTCTTCCTCCCTTCTTCATCACTTGGTTGGTTGTTCCCTGTCATTCAGACTACGTGTTAAGTTCTAGAGGAAGGCTCTTTATGACCTCCAAATCTAAAGCAGCTGCTCCATCTCTATCACTATTTTAATCTATGCCAGCCCTTTCCACTATTAGATCTCAGTTAAGTGTTTACTGGCCAGGTTCCTGCAGTATAGTATAAGCTTCCTGAAAGCCAAAAACCCTGTTCATCTTACCATTCTATCATTGATGTTTGCATACAGCAAACGTTCAACAAATATTTATTGAATGAGTATAGATAGTATGAGTATACTCACAGAATCATAGATTCTAGCCATTATCAAATTCAACGGACTCCTAAATTTATCTAAAATTTCCATTTCTTTATAATAAGTTTTTAGTTCTCCACTATTTTCTTGTTTTATGATAACTTTTCCATTTTCCTCAATAGAAGAGATTTCTCCTTGAAAAACACATATACATGTATGTGTGTGTATTTATATGTATATATATGTGTAAATATATAATTAATTGACTACAATAAACTAGAAATCCAGAAAGGTATAATCCACATAAAGCATATTTTTATCTGCTTATGTAACCTCAAAAAGGTTGTGAAATGGGTTATAATAGAAAATTTCAACAACTGCGATGTGGAACCAATTTTGAAAATCATATAAACATGCCCACTTTGATAACTGAAATGAATGGCAAACTGGAATTTCCTTTAATGTATCCTTGTTATTTAACTTTTAAGGAATAATTTTATAATTATCTTTTTTGAAGTTTTAATCACTGAATTAATCTTTACAATTTAGTTAATTCTGTTTAACTGCATGTTCAAACTATAATAAATATCTAATGAACCATGAAATAAATTATATGGCTCCTTTTAAAAAATGAAATGCCAAGTACTTTTTATAGTATCTACTAATACCTTTTTTAAGACCCAAATAGTAAGCTACATCTCCTATCTTCCTCAGAAAAACACTTAAAAAAGTTTCTTTCATTATCTTACTTACTGGTGCCATCTCCATGTTATTAATCTGAGCCTCATGGAAGCCTCCATCTGACATAACTTCTTCTTCTGTTTCTTCCTCTGCTGTAGCAACATTTCTTCGCTTGAATAACTGAAAAAATAAAAAACTGTGACTCACGTATTCTAATACAAGGGAGTTCAACATGCGAACACTAGGAACCCCACTTAAAAGGCAGTAAAGAAGGATGGAGCTTTCTGAAAATGATTTAAAACATTCTAAAGGTTGTGCCACCTTCAACCTTTCCTGATGAGGAAATATTTCAGAATTCTCCAGTGTTATAATCTGATGCAATTAACTATCACAACATGCTGTTAACACTTGAGGTGGTAAAACTTACTAAGAGAAGCCTGACAGGACATGACACATAAAAAAGGGAAGGTTGAAAAAGGAGCTAGGGCATACTTGGCCACTCCCCTCTTTCTTCTATGTTAAATTGGTGATCTTTTGGTCTTACCAATACACTAGAGGAAATGATAAAAATGATGTCAGAATAACAATGTTTCCCCCTTAACCTTCAAAGAAAATAAACTGAGACTTCTCAACCTTTCCAACCTGTTCAGCAACCAGTTCCTGCTTGAACACTGCCTTTAAAGTATCCATTAATTTGTGAAGGTAAAGAATACTTCCTTCCAAAGGTAGCCTACTAAGGTGCCTTCATTATATCTTTAATTGTCCGAAGCAGTTCATTTGTTCAAGCCACAATAGAGTAACAATAACTCATCCTCTCTCTCTATGCAACTCTAAAAGCAGACAAAATCCATGAAATAATGCATTTCAGCAAATGGATAACAGGTAGCCCAGGCAGTGATCCTTCAGAAAAGGGGGAAAAAAAAAAAAACCTGGCCCAACGATTGCCTCAGATTATTGTCTGGCCAGTTTCCAGGCTGTAGCCTAAGGAGGGTGAAACCCAAACAGAGCCTAAAGGCTCCCTCAGGTAAGGAGACAGAGTTTAGAAATGAGGAGGCCAAGGCAACTATGTTCTAATCCATAGGCAAAGTTGAAGACAAAAGATCAACAGAGAACTCAAACTTTGTAGAAAGTTCCCATTAGTCTTTAGCTTCATACTATAAGAATAGGTAAAAAAAAAAAAAAAAAAAAAGAATAGGTATATAACGAGAAAACAGCTGGGAAAGGAACCACTTCCAACAAACATGCAAATAATTTTGGAAGTTATACAAGTCAAGGAATATTCAAGTGAAAAGACTTCCTAATATACATAGGGCATTTAGCAGAATACTAAGAAGGATACTGGTTCAGAAATGAGGCTTAATTAGCTCTAGATTAAAGGGTATTAAGGGTCCAGCCCAATGAAATGTAAAAACAAACTGGTTCCAAGTAATTTACTAAATCCAAAGACAAATTCAGAATTATATATATTTAAAAAGTATAAAAGCTCCAACAATAAGCAAAGTAAACTTCACAATCCTTGGAATTCAATTGGAAACTACCAAGCACTAAAAAGAAGAAAAGACTATACATTAGGAAGAAAAAAAAAATCAATCTAGCAAACCACCTAGAAATGACAGAAATGGGAGAAATGGGAAAGAACATTAAAACTGTTATAAATATATTTCACATATTCAAAAAGTAGAAGTATAAACATTAGGAAAGATAAGAAGAGATAAACAAAGGCTAAGCAAATACCTGCATATGAAAAATACAATTTTCAGATGAAAAGTACACTGGATGGAATTAACAGCACATTATATACTACAGAAGAAAAGATTAGTGGATTTAAGCACATAGCAGTATAACACTTTGAAATAAAACACATGGAAAAAAGGTTGAGAAAACAAGTATAAAATATAAGTGAGCTGTGGGACATCAAGTGACCTAAAATACATGCACAGGGGTCCTAAGGTTGGGGTGGGGGAATATATTTGGAAAATGGCCAAAAAAAAATTTTTAGTGTCATGTTTTTATTTAAATTCCAGTTAAGTAACATAGAGTATAATATGAGTTTCGGGAAAATTTGGGGATTCATCGCTTATATATAACACCCAGTGTTCATCACAAGTGCCTTCATTAATGCCCATCAAGCATTTAACCCATCTGCCACTGATGTCCCTCCATCAACCCTGCTTGTTCTCTCTATAGTTAAGAGTCTATTTTATGGTTTGTCTCTCTTGTTTTCCTCCTATGTTCACCTGTTTCATTTCTTAAATTCCCTTTATTGGATATGTCATTTGCAAATATATTCTCCCATTCGGCAGAGTGCCTTTTAGTTTTGCTGATTGTTTCCTTTGCTGTGCAGAAGCTTTTCATCTTGATGAAGTCCCAATAGTTCATTTTTTGCTTTTGTGGGAAATGTGTCTAATAAGAACTTGCTTAACAACCAAGGTCAAAAGTTGCTGCCTGTGTTCTCCTCTAGGATTTTGATGGTTTCCTGTCTCACGTTTAGGTCTTGAATTAATTTATTAATTTATTTCGAATTTATTTTTGTGTATGGGGTAAGAAAATGGCCTTTCTTTTTGCATGCTGCTGTCCAGTTTTCCTAACACCTTTTATTGAAGAAACTTTTTTTCCATTGATATTCTTTCCTGCTTTGTTTGAAGATTAGTTGGCCGTATAGCTGTGGGTCCATTTCTGGGTTTTCTATTCTGTTTCATTGATCTATGTGTCTGTTTTTGTGCCAGTACCATACTGTCTTGTTCATTACACTGTAATATAACTTAAAGTCTGGAATTGTGATGCCTCCAGCTTTGCTTTTCTTTTTCAGGTTTGCTTTGGCTATTCAGAGTCTTTTGTGGTTCCATATAAATATTAGGATTGTTTGTTCTATTTCTGTGAGAAACGCTGGTGGTATGTTGATAGTGATTGCATTAAATGTGTAGATTGCTTTGGGTAGTATAGACATTTTAACAGTATTTGTTCTTCTAATCCAGTAGTATGGAATGTCTTTCCCTTTCTCTGTGTCCTCTTCAACTTCTTTTCTAAATGTCCTAGAGTTTTCAGAGTACAGATCTTTTACTTTTACCTCTTTGGTTGGATTTATTCCTACGTCTCTTTTGGTTTTTGGTGTAATTGTAAATGGGATCAATTCCTTGATTTCTCTTTCTCCTGCTTCATTGCTGGTGTATAGAAATGCAACACATTTCTCTAGGCTGGATTTTGTATCCTGCAACTTTACTGAATTTGTATATCAGTTCTAGCAATTTTTTAGTGGAGTTTTTGGGTCTTCTACATAGAGTATAGTGTCCTCTGTAAATAGTGGAAGTTTGACTTATTCCTTGCCAATGTGGATGCCTTTTATTTCTTTTTGTTGTCTGATTACTGAGGCGAGGACTTCCAGTCCTATATTAAGTAATTGTGGTGAGAGTGAAAGTCCCAAGGCTTCTTCCCAACTATAGAGGAAAAAGCTCTCGTTTTACCCCACTGAGGATGTTATTAGCTAGGTCTTCTGTCTATGGTCTTTATGATATTGAGGTATGTTCCTTCTACCCCTTACTTTGTTGAGGGTTTTTATCAAGAATGGATGTTGTACTCTGTCAAAATACTTTTCTGCATCTATTGAGAGAATCATATAGTTCTTATGCTTTATTAATGTAGTGTATCACGTTGATTTGTGAATATTGAACCACCCTTGTAAGCCCAGGAACAGATCCCACTTGATCCTGGAGAATGATTCTTTTAATGTACTATTGGATTTGATTTGCTAGTATTTTGTTGAGAATATTTGGCCTTCATAATTTTGGCCTGTATATCTTTTTTTAGTGGGGTCTTGGTCGGGTTTTGGAATCAAGGTAATGTCGGCCTCGTAGAATGAATTTGGAAATTTCCATTTCTTTTTTTGGAACAGTTTGAGAAGAATAGGTATTAACTCTTCTTTAAATGTTTGGTAGAATTCCCCTGGGAAGCCATCTGACCCTGGACTTTTTTGTTTGTTGGGAGATTTTGGATTACTAGTTCAATTTTTTTGCTGGTTACTGGTCTGTTGAGTTTTCTATTTCTTCCTGTTTCAATTTTGGTAATTTCTGTTTCTAACCATTTCTTCCAGATTGCCTAATTTGTTGACATATAATTTTTCAAAATATTGTCATAATTGTTTCTATTTATCTGGGTCCCTTCTCTTTTCTTTTTGGTAAGTCTGGGCTAGGGGTTTATCAATTTTATTAATATTTTCAAAGAACCAGCCCCTAGTTTCATTGATTTACTATTTTGTTTCTGTATCATTTATTTCTGCTCTAATCTTTATTATTTCCCTCTTCTGCTGGCTTTAGGCATCATTCTTTTCCTAGCTCCTTTAGGTAAAAGATTAGATTATGTATTTGAGATTTTTCTTGCTTCTTGAGGTAGTCCTGTATTGCTATATATTTCCCTCTTATGGTCGCTTTTACTGCATCCCAAAGTTTTTGGACTGTCATGGTTTCACTTTTATTTGTTTCCCTGTAGTTAATTTCTTCTTTAATTTCGTGGTTGACCCATTCATTCTTTAGTAGGATGTTCTTTAACCTCCATGTATTTGTGGTCTTTCCAAATTTTTCTCATGTTTGACTTCAAGTTTCATAGCATTGCTATGATCAGAAAATATGCATGGTATGATCTCTATCTTTTTGTACTTGTTGAGGCCTGATTTGTGACCTACTAGCATGTGATCTCTTCCAGATAATGTCTCATGTGCACTAGAAAAGAATGTGTACTATGCTGCTTTAGGATGAAATGTTCTGAATATCTGTTAAGTCCATCTGGTCCAGTGTGTTTCATTCAAAGCCATTCTTTACTTCCATTTTGATTTTCTGCTTAATGATCTGTCCTTTGATGTAAATGGAGTGTTAAAGTCCCCTACTATTTCTGTATAATTATCAATGAGTTCTTTTATGTTAATGTTTTATATATTTGGGTGCTCCCAAGTTGGGGGCATAAATACTTAAAACTGCTAGGCCTTCTTATTGGATAGATCCCTTTATTATGATATAATGCTCTCTTCATTTCTTGTTACTGTCTTTTTTCTTTTTTTTTTTTTAATTTTTATTTATTTATGATAGTCACAGAGAGAGGGAGAGAGAGATAGAGACACAGGCAGAGGGAGAAGCAGGCTCCATGCACCGGGAGCCCGACGTGGGACTCGATCCCGGGTCTCCAGGATCGCG